CACTTGGCCAGAACTCAGAACCTTCGTCAAGGACTACTGTGCATCTTGTATCACATGCAAGCGCAACAAGAAGCCAAGGCATCGACCTTACGGTCTGCTAAAGCCTCTCCCCGTTCCTCTCCGTCCTTGGGATTCTATCTCTATGGACTTCATTGAGCAGCTCCCCACATCCGGTGAATTCGATACCATTCTAGTCATCGTTGATCGTGCCTCCAAACAGGTCATTTTGATTCCGTGCGACACTCACATTTCGTCTCCGGAGCTCGCTCGACTTTTCCTCATTCATGTCTTCTCGAAACACGGAGTCCCATCCCACGTCACTTCTGACCGCGGAAAGGAATTCGTGTCCTCTTTCTTCCGTTCCCTTGGAGAACTACTCAACATGGAACTCCATTACACTTCGGGCTATCATCCTTCTGCTGATGGGCAAACGGAGCGCATGAACCAAACTGTTGAGCAATATATTCGCATCTATTGTTCTTACCAACAGGATGATTGGCACGAGTTACTGCCGATCGCAGAGTTCGCACTCAATAATGCTCCTAACGCTTCTACTGGCATATCACCCTTCTTCGCGAACAAAGGCTACGATCCCTCTATTACGATTCATCCAGAGCGTGATGTGGCTAATGTTTATGCTAAGGACTACGTCGTCGATCTCCAAGAGCTGCACGAGTTCCTCAAGGAACAGATCAAGTACGCTCAGGAGCAATACAAAGAGACTGCGGACCGGAAACGCATTCCGGATCCGTCTCCGTCTATTGGTGATGAAGTCTTTATCTCGACCAAGTACATCAAGACCAAGCGTCCGACTCCGAAGTTCTCGGAAACGCATTTTGGTCCCTTCGAGATCATTGGAAAGCCCAGTGCTGCGTCCTATCAAGTCCGTCTCCCGAAATCCCTTTCTCAAGTTCATCCCGTCTTTCACGTTTCCCAAATCGAAATCCACACACCCAACAAATTCCCTGGTCGCGAAGAGCCACCACCTGCGGCTATTGAAGTCGATGGAGAAGAACACTTCGAAATCAAACAGATTGTTGACTCCAAGATTGATCGCCGTTTCAAGGGTCCGGCTCGACTCCGCTACCTGGTCGAATGGCTTGGTTACGAGAACACTGATGAACAATTCACTTGGGTTGGTGCACCTGACTTGGAAGCTGAAGAGTATATCGAATCCTTCCATCGTCAATACCCCAACAAGCCTAAGCTGGATTAACGTCACTCAATTCACTCTCACTCCGTTCTGGATCTTCGAGATAAGGAAATTATATTCTATTTTACATTAACGACTCTAATCTTCGTCGTTTTCTCGATTCCGTCTCCGAGGCGTCTCCGTCTCCGCTACTCGGCTCTTCCCTTCCCTTTGTCAACCCTCGCCGGGGGCTCCTCGTCCACATCCATCGCATCATCTTCTTCGACCTCTTCCTGCTCCTCCTGCTCTTCCTCGTACGGCTCGCCCTCAGCATCCTCCGACTTCGACTCATCCGCATCCTGACATTTCTGGCCTTCTCGTTGGATGAAGACGTCCCAGTGTTGCAGGGTCTTGTCAATTCCCTGTAGACGCTCGTCCAGTTGCTCGGGTGTGGTCGACAAGTTGATCGCGCCAACGTTGAATCGCAGCTCGCGACCAAGGTTTTGTAAACCCATGATCACGCGGTTGAGTTGCCGGTGATCAGTTCGCTGACGCATCAGCAGATTGCCGATTGTGGCGGCAACCCCCGCGTTGCTGAGCGTCAGGCCTGACGACTCCGCTGGCGTTTCCGCTGGCGTCTCCGCTGACGTCTCCGCAGGAGCCTTCTTCGCAACTACCCTGGGCACCACGATTCGTGGCCCCGCAACCTTCTTCTTTTTCCCCTTCTCCTTGACCATCCCCGCCTCCTTCTCGTTCTTGCGGAATTGCAGTGGCGGGTTTCCGTCCTCGCAACGGATCTTGAGCTTGCGGCAATTGTCGCAGGAAAGCCGCCCGTGCCAAGTCGTGTTGGGCTTGGGTTCGCTCCACACGCAGGGTTTCCCCGACTTGATACACTTGGCGCATTTTTCTACCAAATCGGGTTAGGTTTGTAATCCAATTCAAGTCTGGCACTTACTTTTGCCTTCTTCATCGCTCCCTGCATCGGACCCTTCGTTCTGGGCCTTATCGGCGTTCTCGGCGTCTTCGGGTGTTCCCACATTGTTGGGTTCTTCGGCTACAACCGCCGGCTCGGGCTCCGCGGATGACTCAACGCGCCGTATGATTCGCCGGCCAATCCGGGCATTCGCCTCCGCCGTCTCGGCAAGGGTCAGCGGGGCGAGTCCGCTTTCCCTGCGAGCTCTGGCCCGCTCTCTGGCCAACTCGGCCTGGGCCCGGCGCCGTTCTTCCTTATCAGCGGCCTTCTTCGCCGCCTTCTGCCTGGCCTCGGCCTCCTCCTCTTGTTCCTTTAGCACCCGGGCTCGCTGCTGCTCAGCGCGGCTCCTATGGTACTCGGCTGCTCGTTTGATGAGCTCTGCTTCATCATCCGGAACCGCTGCCAATGGGGCTATGACGGAACCGTGCTCCGACTCCTCCTCGTTGATTGGCTCGTTGTCAACCGGGTCATCGGGATCGTACGACTCCGACCGACCACCCGGTGACGGCGCCCTTGGAGCCATCTCCGCGAGCTCAGCACGAAGCCTCTCCGCTCTACGATCCAACTCCTCCAACTCCCTCCGCATGTCTACGCGTCGGTTGCTACCCGACGGTAACGCGTCAGCCAAGGGGTCTCTGTCCGTCCCCCCAACCCAGCCACCAATCCTTTCCGTCTCCGACAACTCCTCGACCTGCTCCACCGCGTTGGTATACAGGTTCTTGGCCTTCTTCGCGTTTTTGGCGTTTTGGCGTTTAGGCGGCATGGTGGGAAGTGGTAAAGATAGAGAGATTGATGTCAATCGGTGACGTGCTTCTTGTCACCCCTTTCCTTTTTCGTCCTCCTTGCTATTATCACGTTCTCACCGGCTTCCTCGGTGATCTCGGCCTTTCCGGCCTTCGACTCAAAATTTTCACAAGTCCAACTCTGACTCCGACTCTCTCTGATTCCGACTCCTACCTCTACGACCATTGCTCCTGTTTCTTGTGGGCAAGAAACGCAAGAGGGGGATACTGTTATATCCGTGCCGACTCCGGCATCCGTCTCCGATATCCGTCTCCGGTATTTGGTTTTTACGCAATGAAGATTTACTGAGCGTTTCCAATTACCCCGACTTATGATCTATGCAATCATCTATGCCTTGTTCCTCGTATACAACCCCTCTTCTACTTTACTTGACTTTGTTCTAATCTTGTTACTTACTTTGTTATACCTTATTCCGTTTCCGTTACTTCTCGTACTATAAATACTTTGATGTATTATCACGTACTTGAGTTTGTAAATTAACGTTGCTGGTCTCTATCTCCCAGCGTCGTCTCGACTCCGCTCTTCTCTTCTTGTCTTGTCTTGGTCAACTGGAAGCCCCGGTCACCCAAACATCCTTCTGTGGTGTTCCGCCCCAAGTGCTCTACGACTTCGATTCCGTCTCCGACTTCGACTCCGACTCCGTCTCCGTCTCCGTCCCTTTGGTCGACACGGCACTTAACAGTCTTCTTTGACGCTTGGGTTATTGACTCACTCGACAGCAACGGTTGCTCCTACTGAGGACACTCAACTGATTGACAGCAATTTGTTGAATGAGCAGATAATGAACGATGCAATGCCAATCAAGCGTCCTCGAGAAGCAGATGACGAAGGCGGCGAAGACGTGAGTCCGAGAAAGCGTCCTAACAGGAAAGACATCCCCTTGCCCGTTTGTCTTCGTATCTATGCCCAAATTCGAAACCAACTAATAACCTCTGAGAACGTCGAATCGAATCAGGAAAAGCCGAAGAAACCGCCGAAGAAATCCACACCCAACTCCAAGCCCCCAAAACCTAAGCACAACCACAAGCCAAAAACAAAGCCCGATTCCACCAGAGCCACCATGCCTGTAGACCTCTCGAGGATGTTGGAGCCAGTGAAGGTTGCAGGCTTCACATTTACAAATTATCCGCACCAGTTCCAGCAAAACCGGTCTAGCAACATGTTTGCAATCTATGCTCGGGTCGAGTGGCTCATCTAAGGAATAAGAATTTTCCCACGCCAAGACCGACGCTTTGAATGACGCTTTGCTTGCGCTTTGCACAACACGAGGGACATTTTCCCAGCCTCGGGCACCCATAGTCTCGTTCTCAGACGTTCAGCGAGGCTTTTCCGCATCACCATCCTAGTAGATAGAACCAGGCTAATGGTATATCATCAAAATCTGTCAATCTCAAGTGATATCAAAAATTGTTGTGAAAGTGTGATGCGGGAAAAGCCTCTATAACGTCTGGGGCATTTCGTACAGGCGACCGAGGGTCTGTCACAGCCCTCTATTTTCAGCCTTCTTGTGCTCCTTCAGCCCCAGAATGGCATGGAGTGTGGCATTGGGAGGCTTCCACAGCCACTGGAACTCGATTTGCATGAAAAAAATGTGGGATTTGTGGTACATTTGAGGTGAACTTTGTGGGGTCTATATAGGGCCATTGACGCGTTTAGACGCGTCGAACACGCCTTTTCAGCCATTTTTCTTCGTGATAATGATGCATATTGGGTACTGATATCATCCAGCCATGCATAACGCAGTCCTCACTAGCGCAAACCTGCTAGAAGGAGGGAAAGACGGATTTATTGGCCTGTGACAGTACGTGACATTGTGACAGATCCTCGGCCTACGGTACGAAATGCCCCAGACGTTCCAGTGGACTTCCCGTCGCCCGATCTTACCCGAAATTTTTGATATCATTGATGCTTGTTCCGAAATTTCCCTGCGGAGATTTTCGAAGTCCACTGGAATGTCTGGGGACGAGACTAGGGCACCCAAGAACACCGAGCGCCCGAAGTCTTGATGGCGCGTGATGTCCCGACACCCGACTGTCAATCCCGCCCTAGAGAACGAAGAAAATTTGACTAAGTAGTATAGCTGTAATACAATTATGTGGCTGAATATGACTGTTGCCGTTTTTGCGCCTTCTCTGGCGATGGCGGAAGAACCTCGGGAAGCGCTGGCAATCCTCGAGCGCGTTTCCGAGGCCGTGGATTGCTGTCCGTGTCTGCGTTGGTAGGCACTGGCTGCATAAGCGGGAGAGACATGGGAGGAGAAACATGACTGGGGGACTGGCTAGAGCCAAGACGCCGACGATCGATGGCGCCAAGGACGCGGCGCAGAGTGTCTTCGAGCGGGTCTAGCACCGCCAACGCTTCCGCATCTAGTGCAGCAACCGCTGTCGAGCTGTCCAGAGCATCTGCAATTATGCCCCATGTATTGCCATGTGTCCGAGCTTCAAACAAGAGACGTGCAACAGCTTGCTGCTCCAGTGTCTGAGCGGATGTCGGAAGTTGCGCTGAGGAAGAAGGCATGGGGTGCGAGGGGAGCAGAATTGGAGGGAGGTCAAGGCCAGAGACCATGCGACGACCAGCCAGATCCATGTCGGACTCAGAATCATTGTCCTCGTTGTCGTCATCAGAGACATCCTTCCCATCATCATCCGAATCTGTTTCGTCGCCAGCATCAAGCTGTTCGTGGGCACTAGCAGCATGTTCTTCAGTGGTGGTGCGAGCATCGAGCTCCGCCGACTGTCCCGATAAGCTCTGCACCGTCAGCTGAGCGCGACCAGGCATGATGCCAAGTTGGAGTTGCAGCTCGATGGCTTCGCGCCAAGTAATTGGGAAGGGGATGGTGTTGGGGTGAAGGATACCAATGGTCTTCTGACGGAACAGAAGCTCCATATACGCTCGAGCGCCGCGGCAGTGCTTGCATGCTGCTCCGCATCGCAGGAAATCAGGGCATTGACAGTTGCTTGCTCCGTTGGACGCAATTTGGACCATATACTTCCGGCTGTTGATCTCACCCTCCAATGCCATCGAATTTAGGCAGTCAAACTCGTACAGGCGAATGGTACCGTCGCTGTTTGTTGTACACGTTGGGACACCAATTTGATTTGCCAGCACCATCTCCCCTCCCCGAACTTGACGCTCAATGTCATCCGGGAAGTATGCCAGAAGTGGGACAGTCTCGTCCGCTTTGGCTTGGAGTTTTTGAAGTAATTCTTCACCACCGGGAAAGTCCGCAAAACGACGAATGTATTGCTGTCTCCGTAGAATGCGATCATGTCGATTCTGAGATATGCGGGGCAGTACTTTGAAGACGAGAACATTCAGAAGAACATCTGGACGAAGGCGACGTCCGTTGCGTTTCTCTCGCGAGAGTTGGGTGTTCTTCAGTTCGCCATTAAAACGCTCGAGGTGGTTGGTGGTGTTGAGAACATCGGAAACGGGGCAGCCTAACCGCCGCGCGGCCTCGACACGAGCAGAATCAGACCAGCTGTCAAAAAATTTGAGCCAGTACTCGTCTCCTAGATAGTCCAGGTGATGGAACACGGCTGTAGCGACCTCGGGGAGCCGCCCATTGCCCCAATCCTTCAATGCATGCTCCAATGTCTTGCGCTCAGCAGCCAGGAATGCGCGCGCAGCCGCTGCATCGGGTTGCGCCAATAGCGCCTGCTCCACCGCCTGTACCCGCGCCTTCAAATCCGACACAAGCTTCTCGACGTCGCTCCCGGCCTGCTTGATCTTGTTTCTCGCGTTCCGCCAGCACTGCTTGAGGTGGAAACGGCATATGATCAGCCAGATTTCCGGCCAAATCTGCAGCAAGGCTGCCCGCTCCTTCAAGTCGGTGTCCGTGATCGCGGAAATGGGGGTAAACGATTGCTCAGCGTGACCAAGATCTCTGCCGACAGAGTCGAGATGAAGGCGCCATGTCCGAAAGAGCTTGGTGAGGATGTCGGTGTTGTATCCGGATGAGGACTGGCAATTCCCAGACGGAGCAGAGAAGATGAAAAGGGCGATTGGGACACCCTTCCTATCCTCGTCAAGAGCCATCGCGATGAAGAGCAGCAGGCGGGAGTTGGAGAACCCGAATGTCCCGTCAACAATGAATTGGTTCTGATGCGCGTACTTCCACGAAAGGACATCCATCTCGGGAGTCGATATCGCGATTTCGAACCTCTCCGCTTTGCTCTTCCGCGCCGAGTAGTGGAAGATGACGGCGGCGAAGTCACGTTTGTAGTCGGGGGATGAGGGGTCGAGCCAGTTGTGAATGTTGATCTCCGCGCGGGTGTCGATCTGAACGCCGTTTGCCCGATGGAAGATGCGATATATTGAGCGTGTATCCTTGGGTTCAAGCAGCCAGCGATACGGTGATGTATCAGCATCGCGCGGGAGCCCCGGGTATTCTCGGGCATGGAACAGCCGCGAGTTCTCGATTTTCACGTCCTGCAGCTTGCCGGTCTGCAGCATCTGAATGGCGCGGTCGTACACCACAGCTGCGACGGGCTTGCGGGGAAGACGATCGATTTTGGTGGCGATACATACAGCACTATGGTCGATGATTCCCCGAATGCGAAGAACAGCGTCGGTGGGTGGGTGGTACGACATCTCGAAGTGTGCATTACACTCGAGCTGTGGATATGGCGCTTGGCATTGCTTCGACTTGGCCACAGAATGGTCGTAGCTGGAGGCGCTGGAAGGTGTGGGTGTGAGTGTACCATCTGAGAACACTGACAAGTAGCTTACCATTGGTACAGGATTCGCTGGAAGCTGCTTTCTGCAGGTTTTTTATCGCCCCGCATCGGCGTTTCGTCCTTGTTCTTAGCCCATGCGCGGAAGAACCGCTTCGAGGGGCAAACCGTCGGAGAGGAAAATCCAAGGGTCTTGAGACGCTCGAGGGTGTCCTTTTGGGCGTTGGGATCAGATTTGTGGTCGTAGACCCTTTCGAAGAGGACGTTGGGGGGTGGGTTCTCGTATAAAGATGCCAGCGCAGTCTTGCGTTCAGTCGAAAGAACAAGCTCGCTGACGTAGACCTTCGTTTTGATGTCCCGCGCAGTCAAGATTGGTATTCCGCTTGCAGTCAGCGGCGGAGGTTTCCTCTGACGCGTCTTCTTGGTGGACTCAGCAGCGGCGGGACCAGGGGCAACAGCAACAGGCATAGCAGCGATGACGACGGTGGCAGGTGGTGGTGGTGGAAAGAGTCAAGCAAGAGATGGCGGGGGTTGTGCATTGTGCGCCTGCTGGGGCCGCTAGGCTAGAGGAGCCGGTCACCGTGGGTGGCAGTCGGCGAGCTTTGAACGCGGACATGACAATTTAGGACGACAATGATAATATTGATAGCTTCCTAATGGGGAACGGGACCCGGGCCGGTTGCCTATTCCTTAGACCAGCCACAGAACCAGTAAATCTTGCCTTTCTTGGGTTTTGGACGCTCGAACATCGAGGACATCTCTCCCAAAGAGCCAACAGACGGGATGTGGCTCCGTACGTGACCGACATAGTCTAACCAGCCTTCGAACGTTGCGGATCCATATCCTCCATACTGTCCCATTCCTCGTCCGAGACGATAGAGAATGGTGTGGCATTACTTGGAGAAGAGGTCTGGCGGCGCCCAGGGGCAAAGTCCCACGGTTCGACAGTGCGTCGAACACCGTCGACTTTGAAAGAAAAGGCGCATTCAAATTGGTCAGGATGAAAGTCAATGTCGTCGTCGAGTTGTCGAATAAACCAATAGACGAGCAGCATGAGAGAGCGAATCACAAAGTGATTAGCGCGAGCCTTGGGAATAGTAATTTGCCTTCGGCTGAGAATGTAGCCCGATTGCTTTGGCTGGTCGCAGGGAGACCGAGGGCATTGAAGAACGAAATACTAGATAAGTATGGCGGAATTGTTGGGCCATCAAGTCGTTGGGATCAAAATCGATTGATTGCAGAGCTGGGCTCATAAAAGCGCGATTGAGCCATCTGGAGATGGTTGAGGGAAGTTCGTGAGAGTTTTCAGCGACTGCTGTGAAAGCACTGGACGGGAAGGGTGCGGCGATGGCCTCGAAGATGTTCTTGAACGCACCCGAGGATGCCCAAGTTCATACGGAAGCGGACTGTAACTCTCCACAGAGTGTTGCAATAGAGCTTGCATCCCCTCGTGGTTCTTCGGCAGGTCAAATGCCAGAAGGCGTTGATGAAATGGTTCACGAAGATCAAGAAGAGACGCGTACATTGGAGGGCAAACAGCGAGAAAGGCGTGTCCAGCCAAGTTCACTTGCTCATCCTCCGCTTCGCTTCTGAGGGCATAATACTTGCGCGGCAATCATGCCGCGTTCGTCATCCCAGCCCATCGAGATACAGCTGGGCTGGCTGACTCTTCGTAGACTGATGCTCTTGATGCGCGACTCTGGGCAGCCGACATACGACGCCTATGGCCATTCCCGCGAGCACGTGCTCTTGATGAGTCGGATTTGGTACAGGATGTGTCATATTCACCAAGCAAGAATTGAGCTCCGAGATGTCGAGCCCTCGGACATGGACGAGTATTCTGCCAAGGACAATGGAGGTGTTTCGGCACCAGAACTTGAAGTTGTGATAGTTGATGAGCGAGGTCGAGAGTTCGGAGATGGTCTGGAGAATACTGGAGCTTGTCGGACTACAGAACCTTTCAGATTGTATCCAGATAAAAGTAGAGATGACTCACGAGCATAACCAATCTCCCCGTCACCAATTAACGCGCCGTCCTCCAAGCTGTGACGAACTAGGAGGCCTTGTTTCACTCTGATCATGCCCTCCACTCCAAACTTTGAAGAAGAAGTCAAAGCAATAGACGGTTGAGCCATACGTGCTTTGTGTGCAACCCTGTCTTCCTCCTGTAGAGTAGCATGTTTGCGTTTTTCAACTCGGACGCAGGAAGGTTTTGAAAACTGAGCCAATAAAGCGGCGGCGAACATGTCCACCACCAAGCATCTGAATCCAAAGCATTATTATCTGAGCAAAAAAGAAGGAAAACGAACTTACCATTATCATTGTATCGTTCTCCTTTATTGGTGTGCTGCTGCTCATGTTCATGCTCAACATCGACATTGGCGGGAACTGATTAGGCGGGAGTAGATGGCCATTAGGAGGATGAGATCATCTTATCCGAAGATCGAGTGGGATGACATCGACGAACGGTGGCCAGTCTTGTCAAACAATGAGTCCACCATTGATGACCCTACTCAACCATTAGATGGTCAAGATGGACCACTATGCTCCGGCGGAGATGCGGAGATCTAACTGAGAGCAGCTCCTTGGTCGTATGCAGATCTTGTCGCCAACCCCAGGTCTACCAAGACAAGGAACCGAGAAATCGCTGAGAATTGAGTCAGTCGAGGGTTCATGTTGATGTCTCGCCCAAGCGGCACGACCACCAGTAGCACCCTGCGAAGTATATTGATGAGCGAGCAAGCTGGTGCTGCTATCCGCTTTGCTCAAGCGATGACTTGCATAGCTCCGGTTGCAGTTATAGAAGGATGTAATGCTAGCGGTAGACTCGCGATAGCGATGACCACGAGAAGTTTGTGATTGTTGAGCTGGTGCTTTGAAGTAGAAACTAGATGCATCGCTGGCCGCACGTTTGCGACGAGGGTCCCGCGCCAACAACGAGAAGGTGTCATCAACGTTCATAGAAAGCGAGATCGACAGATCTTCAGAGGATGGTTGTTCGCGGAGACTGAGCATAGGCAAGCCATACTCGAAAGGATCATTTACTCCAGGGTTGGTCACGTGTCCACAACAGACCCAATGCTGAAGACCGAATCATGATGTCCATGGTAAGCTCGAGTGTTGCGCGCAGCAGGAGGTGGTGGATAAAACGTCGGGCGATTAGCATGGAACTCGAAACCTCTGCGGACCTCATCAAACGAGTCGAATCCGGTAGAGCTGATGCCAGAGGCGGGTCTTGAACGAGTTCGAGCACGCATGCTGGTCATCGAAGCGCGTGAATTTCCGATGGCGGAGCGACGTAAACTGCAGTCTGAGTTGACCCGTGGGCGGGGTTGGGCAGCAATTTCTCCGGCATGGGCAAGAATGGACTTGAGTACGGATTCAGGGAATGAGCGCGACTGTGAGAGGGTGGTGGAAGAATGTTTGACAAGGTAAGCGGCTCTTTTTGCATCTTTGATGCTGTTCCTCTTCAGGGAACTGATACCCAAGCTTGAAACCAATGTTGAGTTCACCGGTCAATGGGCCATTTTGTGGCAAAAGGCCAATATCGCTTCCCAGGCTATCAGAGCCGCGCAAGAGTGTTGGTTCCTTGAGATCGATGATTGGGGAAGGATATTCTGGGTACTGACGCCTTCACTGGCTGTCATAGTCGGCGCCGTGATGTCCATCAAACGTGTAGCGGACCGAGGGGATCGCTGGTCTTCGGTTTTCTGAAGACGACGGTGCCGAGGAAGTCTGGTCGATGATGAACTGCATAGGGGGTTCCGGAGGCGCGTCAATTGCAAGTAGATTGTGCAGGTCGATATTGGCCGGCGTTTTGAACGCATTCTCTAGTTGTTCGACGGAACTGCGCCTATCTGATGCCCCAGGCTCATTCAGCTTCTGGAGCTCACCCGTGAAATCAAACGACTTTTTTCGCATCCTCCTCCGAGGCAGCGCCATCATCGATATCGGCATGATTACCATCGTCTTCAACCAGCTCAACATTGAACATGGGCAGCTGTAGTTGAGGGGGCGACGAGGAGATGCGAGGCGAGGGAGGCAGAGGCGGCAAGTCACCAGGCGGAAGCCCAGAACGAGAGCGTGTCGATTTAGCACGTGATGCCGATAAGATAACTTGCAACTCGTTTGGAAAATCCGGTCAGATGTATCCAGTTCCTGCTCTTGGTGATCAGAGGTATGCGATCCTCCCAAAGCGCCTGCAATACCGAGCACTCGCTTTGCGCCAAGTGCGAGGAGCATTCCATTGTTGTTGCCTTTGCTGCTCCGCGGATTGCGAGTGTGACGGGTAAAGACGGGAGGCAAAACGCGACTGGTTTTGGGCTCTCGGGTGACGAGCGGGAGCCAAACGTTAGCGACGACGGTGCTCGCATGTCCATCTTGCTGTCCACAGAAGATGGAGGCGGAGAGGGCGATGATGATGAAACAGGTTGGGTTCATGAGCGCCGCAAACGCAAAGAGTGGAAACAGGAGCTGGATCCGGCTCTGGCGAGGGCGTCATTGTTCTGTGGTGAGATCTCTTGAACGTGGCGTCAGAAGCTATCGGTGCAGGTGGCGTTGACTTGAGAGCAGTGGGCCACGGAGCAATGTGTTGGCCGATCAGTCGTCGTTGAGATGCTTTAGGCACTAGTTGTCGTTTGGGCGAGAGGGCAGCCCGTTCAGCATATGGTCGAAGGGAACTGACTGATCCCGCGCTGGGTCGCAAGACTTTGGATTCGTTCTTGCCAACGGGACTCTCTTCAACAGGCGGCACAATAGCGTTGCGAGCAGGCGAAGGAGTAGCATCCAACTCAAGGAATGTAATCGATTGAGCAAGATCGTGTTCAAAACACCTCCTGACTTCGAGTTAGTCATGATTAAGAAAATAAAGTAAAATTTTCACCCGTGGAAGAGCGGTTGTTTTCAAAAAAAACTCCACGGGGGACGAGGACGGGATGTCCCATCTATTATATCATCCCAAACCGGACGCGGCCTTGGTCTTCGACGTTTAAACGGTGTTGCAGACACAACCAGGAAATCCTCCGTCTCCACATCCTCATAATCCTCGCCTCCATGTCCATTGGTAGTGGCTTCCTCAACGGTAAGCATAGGCGGTTGATTGTTGATGCTTTCCAACGCAGACAAACGACATGAAAAACTGGGGAAACATCGCTCAATGGAGCGCGCTTCCGTCCCTCGAGTGAGTGCTGGCTGCCCCAACGTGAGTCCCTCTTGTCCTTTTTTGTCCTGAACGTTGGGACACACCTAGAGTCTCTAGTAGACCGTGAAAGCGTCGGCTTGGATGTGGCTGAGTCAAAGCATGTCACGGTGACTGACACCTGTGAGGAACAAGTGCATGGATTCAATCAATCATCAACTACATTTTTTGTCCAAAAAAGTACGCTACTGTGTCTATCTTGTTGTTGGCTTCGGCTTTGGCTGGGAGTTATCTTTAGCTCTGCGAGAAGGGAGGCTTCCCCTGGCTAAAGATATCAACGTGAGCGTACATCAAGCTGTTTGGAAAACAATAGACTTGCCCGAGAGCGGCAATGATCGCCTTTAGCCAAGCTTTAAACGGAGGACCATGAACTTCATCATTCATGATTGCATTGATTGCTGCCACAAACCACTCGTGAATGAGTTCGTACATTCCATGCCGTTGAAAGCGGACAGCGATCCCAGTCTTTTTTTGTACACCTTCCAAGAAGTTGTATGCCTACGACGGGTAAGCACTAGGAAAGAATGTGAAATGAGTCAAGACAAACGGTTAGGAAACCAAATATCACGATGTTGAGGGGAAAGGTTTCAACTCGCTTGAAGATCTCCATGTTGCGATAATAGACAGATTGATGACTGGCCATCGCCCATATTATGTTCCCAACAACGGGATTCGTGAACCGCCCCGTTTCGGGAAGTTTCGCGGTAGCTCTATCTAGGAATGTACCATGGACGGTGTCGTTGTCAACTTGAACGTCAGTCGCCGTCTGAGTTGTGTCTGCAACTTGTTGTGGTTGGCCTGGATCCTCGTAAGCATGCATTTGTTTGCAACATCGATTATCATACTGAAGTCGGGCAGAGGCGTATCGTGGGCATAATGCAAGTCCTCGATAAGCCAATCCGCCGTCTTTACCTCCTCGTCGGTGTACGTGAGTTGACCAGTTGGAGGGTGGGGTACCTTGCTCATTGGCCAAACTCGTTCAAGGCCCTTTTTCCGCACGGAGTTGCGTGAGTTGTGTCTTCCAGTGTGGAGCTAAGTAGCAACCAGTCAACTAGGTGAGTGAAGCGGAAAGATTACACCACCAACCGCGGAGCAAAGGCTACTCTCAAGTGCGGGTGTTATATCTATCAAGGTCAGTCAATATGTGTCTCTACACAAAAGCAGAATTTAACCGTCGTCCGTGAGAATGATGCCTTGATTAGCCAAATATTCGCGGGTGACCTGAAGGATTCGCTTGTAGTCAGTCGTTCCCCAGTAGTCCTTCACTGCTATAAGATGGATCGCAGTTTCGAAACACTCGTCGGCGAACTGTTTGACTTTTAACTCAGCCGATTCGGGAATCCCCACCCGGGTTGATTTGGACTTTGAGCTGGTAGCGAGGGAAGGACTGCCAGTCGTGCCTTTGCCTGCGGCAATGATGGTGGCGTGGTTCGCTGGACGACCGCGATGGCGCTTGCGCCGCTGCACTCCTCCCTCTATTCTTGAATTCAGCAAAGCATACGTCAAGGAACGCAGAACGCACCGCTGGCAGAGTGAGTATCTGAAGACTGGGAAAAGACTGGGTTATCTTCAAGTTGGGTTGCTTGAGCGCCAGCCTGCCGCTACATTCGATGGTAAATATAGCGTGAAAAGTAGCGGCGAATAGGTACCGGTGCTGCGACCTGGTCCAGCAATTCCGTAACAGAAATTTGAAGTTGAGGTGCTTGACTGGTCGTCTTGAAAGTGGTGTCGCCACCTATGGAGAGCACGGACTGGTCACCACCTACGGAGAGCATAGACTGGTCGTCATTCGCGTTGCCGGTGACAGCCTCCAGTTGCGCTTCAGGTTGCTCGACACGAGTGGGGAATTGGTGAGTGGCGTCCGGGTTGACGCCAAGCTGGCGCATCGCGCGTTCATAGCCTTCGTCAAGCCCGAGTTGATAGCCAGTGGACATTCCGTCTGCAAAAGCAGTGTCTACTTCTTGAATAAATGTTAGCATTTACTAGGTACTAGACTACACAACAAAGAAATGGGACGAACCGATACGTTTCTGGGCCTCCAGTGGCACTGAGGCAAAAGATTGATCTACAACGCTTGCATGAGGCAGGGATTGAGAAGCTTCGTTGAAGTCGGTGTAGCTGTAGCTGTAGCTGTTGGAGCTCCCATCGTAGTAACTCTCGGCGCCGCCAAAGGAGTCCGACATGTCGCCATCGAATGCGCTGGCGCCAGTCTGTGAAGGACTGCCAGTGGCCTGGGGGGGAGGCGATAGGTTGAAATAATGTGTGAGCAAGCGTGCCTCGTCGTTTGGGCCGTTTGGATCCATGGGCTCATCCAAGTTCGTCATGGTACTGTTGAGAGCTGAGCGAAAACTTGAATGAAGAAGTAGAAAGAAGTTGGAGAACTTAAAATTCATGTTTAATTGTCAAATTTTGATCACGGCGGCCACCTACCGAGATCTCCCATGCTGGCCGTCAATCGGATTTTGAGCGTAGAGTTCTTGAGGTTCAGGGTCGGCTCAGCTCAGTGCTCCGTTGCCATATCGCAATAGAGCTGGCGATTCGAATTGCACTGGCTCTAGTAAGAGCACCTTTCAGACCACGCCATGGATCTGGAGGGTGCGATTCGCCATCGGATTGGACTTGTCGAGTATGAGGGTGCAAAGTGATGATGACAAAGCGGAAGACAAACGCGTTTGATCTGACTCTCTCGAATGTCACAGCTTTCGTCTTTTGACTTGTAACATCACCCATGACTGAGCTTGGATCATCTCCTACTCCCTCTTCGCTCATGAAAGAGCCTTGCACCGATCTTCAGAATGACGGCCCGGGCACGCGCAACTTGGACTCCGCAGAGAATCAGGCGTTAACACCTCTGCCTCCAAACGAGCTTGTAAGCCTTGCTGTGTCCACGTCGGCTAGCGCACTGAATAGCAATAGAAGCTGCGCTATCAGAACTGGACTCTCCTCGTTCCAAGTTCCCCTCTAGCAGCGCAACAGCTCATCCACACGTTGCGGGCCCACCGAGAAGCATGCATTGCAGAGCACGCAATGGCTCAACGCCGTCTCCACGAAATGGTCTCCGCTATGAATTTTCTCCGGTCCTTGATAGACGAACGGACTCGAAGCATCCGGGATGCAGAACACGACATCGGTGAAGCACATCTAGCCCTCCATGCGCACGGCGTTGCGTTGGGCAATGATGGTTGCAGTTTGTGTCGTAATGGCAAGGATGCCCTCATAGCCTGACCGGGGTGGGACGTTGCTAGTTGATTAGTCGATGGGTCTCTCAGTGTATGTACTAAGTATCGGATTCGAATTTATCGAACTTAAAGACGCGAATGCAAACGCTGAGCAGACTGAACTTGGATGAGAATTAGGTAGAAACAAGTACGATCCAAACAATTTCTAATACTTCATGGAGCGAACAGACGATGATTAGTAGCTCATATCAGCGGCGTCCAACAGGCTTGTGTCCACCCACCCAGACCGCATAGAAATATCACGCTGGTCCGAGTCATCCAACTTCTCCTCAACTTCGTCGATGACATCAATGAGGTTCTGGAGGTCCTTGACAAGAGAGACGATCTTCAATTTAGCTTTTGAAACGCCCTTTTCGCTCTGTTCCATTCGGCGCTGTCGTTCCCTCTTCTCGGACGACAACTCTTTGCGAATCGCCACGAGCTGAGCCAACATGTGTTCTCGCCCTTTTCTAGCCTCGAAAATCTTCGCTCTAAGGCCAGCTTCTTTGTCTTTCTGCTGGTCCATAAGTTCTTCTCCCTCGGCCAACTGCTCCTTGAGCTCGGTCATCTCGGCATTGAGCTTGACATTCGCAGCGAGGCTTTCCACGGCGTTCTCTTGAAGTACGTGCTTGGTCATAAGAAGACGCTCAACTTCTGTTTCAAGACGAGCATGGTCAATCTTCAATGCATGATACCCGTTGAGAAGGGCCTGCTGCTGTTGGAGGTCTGCTCATGGTGTTCAGAACCGTTCAGAAGAGAGAGAGAGCAAAGGGAAAGTATGCACCTGTGCGACCGTTATTATTGGCCCTGATGAAAGGGTTGTTGTCGACAGCCTGCCTGGGATTGGATGTCGGCGAAAGACACAAATAATTAGACGGCACACTTACAAGCGCAAAGGCCCCAATGGCGAGGAGGCGATGTTGCTTGACTGGGACCCGTCTGTTGCGGAGGTAAACAAGCTCTGGTCTGCACCGGAGGGAGTTCCTGGACTGGGTGTTTGGATAGACGGAGCGCGTTTCTTGAAGCCAGGAAAGGCAGCGGAGTCAACACTATCGGGAGAGGAGGTAGGAGCCATTGATGGAGAGGCGAACCGGGTATCCCGTTAAATAGCCTATGGACGATCTCTGTTCCCAAAGTTCGAATTGCTTGATGAGGTCTTGTAATTGATTCATCAGGAAACACGGTAACTGCCCTGGTAGCGCTACAGGAGCATCTATAGCACTCATAGCTCTGTAGACAAGTTGCCCGATATATAGCGCTACAGAGTGCTATGGGAGCATATGCCAGTGCTATGGTAGAGCCCCCATAGCGGTGCCATAGCACTCCCATAGTCTTATATATCAGCCTAAATATACTGCAATAAGAGACAAATATTACTGCCCCTGCCCCACTACTGGCCAACTGAGAAGGCACAGGAGATAAGGCAAGGGACACTTTGAAGGCTTAATGGGTTACTTAAGATTATGATTATTACTTATTACTAAATGGCAACTGTGGGACTTGAACCAAAGACCTTGTGAAAAATCCACAAATAACAACGGAGTAAAGCAGATGGAATCAACTAGACCAAGTAGAGAACAGAACATATTCTTTCTCAGTAACTATAATGTGGCCTGGAACTGACTTGATGCTCTGACTATTTTGTCACATACCTTCTACTTGTATCCCAACTAGTCCCTTCAGCTATGTATGATATTGGTAGTGAATATATACTCACTATTCTTCAACTTTTATACAAACTTCTAATTTTTTATATGAGGAAATAGTATTGTGAATAGTTAGGAGCAATGGATTCATAGTCATTCATACTCTAGCTAGTGATGTTGGTAGTGCTATGGTAGCTGGTGATAGCCAGCAGTAAATACTACAACAGTATTCATATCTTTGATACTGATGTCTATAGCGCTACAGAATGCTATGGAGTTTCAGAAGATGTCTATGGTAGCGCTATAACAGCTATGAGGCCACACATATCTTGGCTGGCAGTTCCATAGCCGAATCCGTGTTTCCTGATGTTGGCGCTCTGGATTATCAAAACACACAGAGAGAGAGAGACGTAAGCACAAACTCTTAACCATTACCCCCGAGCGCCACTTCGGTCATGGATGCAGCAAAATTGAAAACGCCCAGGCCTGAGGAAGGTTGGTACATTTGCCTTCAGCTTGATACTGTTTAAATGTTGACATCACAAACCTCGTAGCATGCAACGAGCTTCACGACAGCACAGACCACCAAGGCGGACGTGAGGGAAGCACCACCGAGCTTGTCGAGTTAAAGATACAGATGGAGCAGCTGGTGGTTGCCAATGCGACGTTGGCTCGGGACAGGGACCAGATCGAAAATCGCCTCCAACTCGCTACGCAGGCTCGATTTCAGCTCCAGTCCGAGGTTTCGCGTTGTATTTGAGCTTCAAAAGGCGCAGCTCTCCATCCAGCTGAAGGACATGCAAGTTAACGTAGGCGAAGTCTCCGCCCTTGTCGTCCAATGATGAAGCTCTACAGGAACTTCGCGGCTGGAACAACCATTTGACCCGAACGCGAGACGAGGCCCAAAAGGAGGCAGTGAACCTCAAAGTCGAGGTCGCTGTGTTGCAAGGTAGATTGCTTCATGCAGAGGAGGAGTTGTCGCTTGTGGGGAATTTTTTGCGGAAGATGCTCAACCGTACGATGGCCGATAAGCTTCAAGTTTCGAGCCGAGTTTCTTGACTTGACACCGTGCTATGCTAAATTCATCAATACAACCAGTAGTTTCACTTTCAGCTTTCCGTGACGACTCTTCAAACTCCGAGTCCGGCTGAGATCAGAGACATTCTTGACTGGCTTGACTTCTTTTACTTTGCGCTGGGCTGTCGACGCCGTCACCTTTTCCCCTTCACCACGACTGCCAGTATTATGGTTGAAGATGGACCTATGGAAGTCAATAAGGACATTTTTCAATGACTGGGGTCGATTATCGTTGAGCGGACTGGACGAGGGTACAAGTCTGGTTCGGTCACCGTTCTTCGTCCGACTCGATCTTCGGATCATATGCTGGCCATCATCCTCGTGCTGCTCTCGCCTAAACCGCTGTCGACGTTGACCATGAACACGAGCAACAGTTTGGCAACAGTGCACAGTACACAATGAGAGAAGACGATACGACCTCACGGCAAGTTGTTCTTCTTTGTTGCGATTTGCTCTGGTAATAATACTTGAGGATCGATACTTAGGGTGGCCATGTTCGCTGACGCTTTCTTGGCTCGGTTTTCGAAGCCTCTCCCGCTAAGGTTACCCACAAAGCACGCATTGTGGCCCAACCGTTTACTGCTTCAGCTTCGAAGTCCGAACGCAAAACAAGGCCTTCTCGTTCGCCACCCAGCTTAGAAAAGTTCGTTGATTGCTGGCGGGGAGGTTAGTTTTGCTCGTAAGTCATCGCCACCAGTTTTTGGATATGATCATGGTCGGGTTGTATTGTAGTCCGAACTTCAAGAAACGAAGCCGAAGATACTGTCGTCGAGAGCAAGCTATGAGAGTTATGTTATAGCCCACTTCCATCTGAACTCGAACATTGTCGCATGGGTTCAAGAACTTCTTCAAGACCATCGCCATACCCTGCCCGCCAAACGCTATCCCAGCAGTCGCACGACACCGTCACCGACTCACCTCGAGATGACCTTAATCACACGTTATGGGTCCAACTCTGCACTCAATGCATTTTGATTTCAACGTCGATGGTTGCATCAACGTCGATGATGTGGCCTCTCGAAGACAAGGAGAAGAACCGGGGTCCACCCAATCCGCGTTCCCTTCCGCCAAACCTCGAGCGACCTCACGACGAACTTGAAGGATCTCAACATTCCCGCAATATCTTTCATCATGTGGTGAGCATAGACTCTCTTTTCTGTGGGGCTTGACTGATCAAGGGTCTGGACCTAGAGAGTCTCTGCGAATCAGCAGGCCAAGATCCCAGCGACACCCAAGCTAGCTCGTCCGCAAGCTGTCCCTGTGGCAGAACCTTCACTCTTCCTTGACGCTCCTCCTGCTCATCCTTCACGGTTGATCGGTATTGCAGGCGCTTTGGGAGGATCGCATACCTCTGATCACCAAGAGCAGGAACTGGATGCATCTGACCGGATTTTCCAAACGAGTTGCAAGTTATCTTATCGGCATCACGTGCTAAATCGACACGCTCTCGTTCTGGGCTTCCGCCTGGTGACTTGCCGCCTCTGCCTCCCTCGCCTCGCATCTCCTCGTCGCCCCCTCAACTACAGCTGCCCATGTTCAATGTTGAGCTGGTTGAAGACGATGGTAATCATGCCGATATCGATGATGGCGCTGCCTCGGAGGAGGATGCGAAAAAAGTCGTTTGATTTCACGGGTGAGCTCCAGAAGCTGAATGAGCCTGGGGCATCAGATAGGCGCAGTTTCGTCGAACAACTAGAGAATGCGTTCAAAACGCCGGCCAATATCGACCTGCACAATCTACTTGCAATTGACGCGCCTCCGGAACCCCCTATGCAGTTCATCATCGACCAGACTTCCTCGGCACCGTCGTCTTCAGAAAACCGAAGACCAGCGATCCCCTCGGTCCGCTACACGTTTGATGGACATCACGGCGCCGACTATGACAGCCAGTGAAGGCGTCAGTACCCAGAATATCCTTCCCCAATCATCGATCTCAAGGAACCAACACTCTTGCGCGGCTCTGATAGCCTGGGAAGCGATATTGGCCTTTTGCCACAAAATGGCCCATTGACCGGTGAACTCAACATTGGTTTCAAGCTTGGGTATCAGTTCCCTGAAGAGGAACAGCATCAAAGATGCAAAAAGAGCCGCTTACCTTGTCAAACATTCTTCCACCACCCTCTCACAGTCGCGCTCATTCCCTGAATCCGTACTCAAGTCCATTCTTGCCCATGCCGGAGAAATTGCTGCCCAACCCCGCCCACGGGTCAACTCAGACTGCAGTTTACGTCGCTCCGCCATCGGAAATTCACGCGCTTCGATGACCAGCATGCGTGCTCGAACTCGTTCAAGACCCGCCTCTGGCATCAGCTCTACCGGATTCGACTCGTTTGATGAGGTCCGCAGAGGTTTCGAGTTCCATGCTAATCGCCCGACGTTTTATCCACCACCTCCTGCTGCGCGCAACACTCGAGCTTACCATGGACATCATGATTCGGTCTTCAGCATTGGGTCTGTTGTGGACACGTGACCAACCCTGGAGTAAATGATCCTTTCGAGTATGGCTTGCCTATGCTCAGTCTCCGCGAACAACCATCCTCTGAAGATCTGTCGATCTCGCTTTCTATGAACGTTGATGACACCTTCTCGTTGTTGGCGCGGGACCCTCGTCGCAAACGTGCGGCCAGCGATGCATCTAGTTTCTACTTCAAAGCACCAGCTCAACAATCACAAACTTCTCGCGGTCATCGCTATCGCGAGTCTACCGCTAGCATTACATCCTTCTATAACTGCAACCGGAGCTATGCAAGTCATCGCTTGAGCAAAGCGGATAGCAGCACCAGCTTGCTCGCTCATCAATATACTTCGCAGGGTGCTACTGGTGGTCGTGCCGCTTGGGCGAGACATCAACATGAACCCTCGACTGACTCAATTCTCAGCGATTTCTCGGTTCCTTGTCTTGGTAGACCTGGGGTTGGCGACAAGATCTGCATACGACCAAGGAGCTGCTCTCAGTTAGATCTCCGCATCTCCGCCGGAGCATAGTGGTCCATCTTGACCATCTCATGACCTATATATCCGCATCAGAACATCGAAGATGTGGTTGTGTGTTTTAGTGGGCCAGAGGTATCGAGGTTGGAATGAGTTGCGTTGACGCAGTCATTCTGTCTGCATTCTGCCTTGTTCGCATAGCTGAAATTATTGTGATACAATGATGTTTGATATTCGCACACTCTCAGATACTTGGCTGTCTGTAGCAATCTTCGTTTGACTAGAATCTTTTTTCGGACGTGGTCACACTGTGACACCACTGCGTATTGCCATCATCCCAGTCAACTTCTCCTGGTCGTTGCTTGCGCCTGTTGACCGCTACATCAGGTGGCCACTGGTCTGGAACCACAACTCTCACAACCAGTGGCCACAGGGTGAACTTGGCTCATTATTCCGCAACCAATAGTCAATTCTACTTGAAATTGACATTCTAAGTTCAAGTTCTCCGGTATGCAGTCTCTACAAGAGTGAAGAAGTAACATCTAACTTGCGAGAAAGAAGTTCATTTTGGATTACTACTGTCTTTGCGGGCAAAGAGCTATGCCCAAATCGAAATTTGCATGCGAACTTTGCCACAAACCGCTTCGCAATCTGGGCGAGGCAAAAGCTGTTCATGACCGAACCTGTCCAGGCTTCAAAGCCTTGCACATTCAATCTGTGGCGCATATCCATCAACATCTTCGAAACGCAGCACAAGCCCCTCCGTTACATGCAGACCCAGTCGGGGCTGTCGAAGTCCCAGTATGTGGAGACAGTTTGAGTATGACTACCTTGACTGACAATTGGACAGCAGATGGTAGTGCAGGAGAGCGAGGCTCCTGTCCTTCGCCCAAGTGGTCTTCCAAATCGTCGTCGTCGTGCTCCAGCCAAGTTGAAGGATGCTGCTCCCCCCCCACCACCAAGAATTCGCGGGGTCATTCGACCCCTACCCATGGAGACCACGATGGAGATTGATTCCCAACTCTCGTAAATCCCTGATCCAGAGCCCCAGCCGCAGAAGTGGATTCGCACTGAAATCGATGCTTTTGGACTTTATAAGGTTTATCCCCAACGTCCAACCCATGACCCTGACTCGCACATCACATCCCAAGAACTTTACAAAGTCGAAAACCCAGCTGTAGTGGGACTAGACAACTTCCCGTTGCCGAAAGAGCCGTGGTTCTACCCTTTCCCCAACGCGTCAGTTGCACACATGATCAAGTACCATATCGAGGAAGATCACGCGGGATCCATCGGCGCCTTTGACCGACTTGTGCAAAATGTTTTACAGCCTAACGAGGAGGCTCAATCGGACGGGGTCGATCTGCGTGAACTTCCCATGCCGTTTTCAACAAAAAAGTTCCTTGACGATCTCGATAAGAAAGGGATCGAGCCTTTGGGTATAACTGAGAAATGGAAACAGGGTAGTGTTGCTCTGAAGCTGCCTTGTGTGGGTCGAGAGCAGAAAGAATCGGCAGCCCCGGAATTCATGATCACAGATATTCATTACCGTCCACTTCTCGATCCTATCAAGGAAGTTCTTCAAGGTCCTCTCTTCCAGAAATTTCATACGACCCCATTCTCTTTGCGATTCATCCCCACAACAGATGATATCCCGCTCCCTCATGCTGACGCTGAACTCGATTCCAATATTTGGGGACTGCCAAATCTTCCTGCTGGTCATGAAGAGGTATTTGGAGAGGTCTATTCATCAGCGGCGATGCTGGAAGCATACGACGCGATCCCGCAACCTCCACCCCCTCAATCACCAGATGATCCTGTGGAGAGTATTGTCGTTGCTCTCATGGAATGGTCTGACGCCACCCATCTCGCTCAATTTGGCACGGCTTCGCTCTGGCCCGGTTATACATTCTTCGGCAATCATCCCAAAGATTTCAGAGGTAAACCGTCTTCGAACGCAGGTTTCCATCAAGTGTATTTCCCGAGTGTGCGTTAAAATCTTGTCCTCCAGTTGTTTACTCATGGTTGCACAGCTTCCCGACGCGATACATGATGCATACCGCCAACATTACAGCTGTGATATGCCCGACGAGGTCTTCACTCACCTTAAGCGTGACCTAATGCATCGCATCTGGGACCTTTTGCTCGATGACGACTTCATGGACGCGTACAAGAACGGTATCAAAATCAAATGTTGGGACGGCATTGTCCGTCTGGTCTTCCCTCGCTTTTTCATCTATGGCGCGGATTATCCTGAAAAGTCGGTGCCTTACCACAACACCCTTATGATCCTAAATAATATTTGGCAGAGTTCTACTTGCTACTATCCGAAGCATGGGTGGCTGTCCATGCCCTCGTTGCTTCATTCAGAAACACCAAATCGCCGAGACTGGCACAGTCAATGATATGAAGCGACGAGAAGTCATTCGTGTTGATGACCACCCTCGGAGATCAACCATCGAGGATGCGCGCAGAGCTATCTTTGAGAATGGTTCTGCTGTTGCGGGCTCTTCCATCAACAGGATGCTCCAAGCCAAGTCTTGGGTTCCGGTTCGGGTATGTATCTTTATTCTGTTCTTGAGTTACCATTCACCTGGTGATAGAATGCGTTCTCCAAACTCAACACTGAGACAACAACCTTCAACTTTTATACAATGTTCGTCCCAGACCTCCTGCATGAAGTCGAATTGGGAGTGGTCAAGGCAATCCTCACTCATCTGATTTGCATGCTGCAAACCTTCAAGAACGTCGGAGAATTTGATTCACGGTAAGCGCCATCTCCTTATTGCAGGGCTGTTCTCTAAGTCTTGTTAGATTCCGCCAAGTAGGAACATTTGGGCGGTCGGTGATACGTTCCTTCGGCAGCAATGTTTCTGCAATGAAATATGCAGCTGCGAGAAACTTCGAGGATGTTTTACAGGTGCTTTCGACTTTTCCCCGGGTGCCAACGACCAATGACATCTCGATAGTGTATACTCCCCGTCATCGAGGGATTATTTCCTGATCACCAACGTCTTATCGATCAACTGTGCTTCGAGCTAGCAGTGTGGCATGGATATGCCAAACTACGCATGCATACGACCTCCACTGTCGAAATCTTCCGAACTGCTACTAAGGATTTGCTTACCTCCATTCGACGCTTCGCCCGTGAAACTGCAAGTGTAAAAACATACGAGCTGCCTCGAGAGGAGCGGCAACGAACAAAGAAAGCAGCCAAGAAAGCGGCAACACTTGACCAGCAGGCTCCTGTGCCGGAATCCCAGCCCACCGCTTCAGTCAACGACGCCCAGTCCAAACCCAAACCCAAACCCAAACCCAAACCCAAACCCAAACCCAAATCCAAAACTACATCCAAATTCACAACCAAATCCGCACCCGTACCCCCGCCTGTATCCCTGCCTGTACCCCCGCCTGCGCCCCCGCCTGCGCCTGTACCCCCGCCTGCACCCGCACCCTCCACTACACCAGACGTGTCAGCTACTACGGCATCAACATCCCTTGAAGATCCCAGTCCCGTACTCGTTACCACATCTACGCGACCTCGAGAAAAAATAGAAAAACCATTCAACATGATCACTTACAAATTGCACTCATTGCCCGACTACCCGGATTCCATTCTGCGATTCGGAACCACAGACTCCACCTCAACCCAAAATGTATGTATGATACATTTCCCGAGCACTGTTGACTTACTCTCATTTCTAGGGAGAGTTAGCTCATCGGCTCGTGAAACTGCTCTACCGAAGGACAAATAAACGTGATCATGTCCGGCAAATCGCGAAACATGAGCATCGTCGACGTTTGATCCGTGCGATGTGGGAACGGCGCAAGTGGTACAAGGATCGAGAGAAGACCACGACAACTAGCGCAACGGAAGGAACAGTCCACACCAACCAAGGCACTTCCAACACCAATCAACAAGCTGGTCGCCGGCGGAAACTACAGTCCAGCTTGCGCCCGAAACCCCATTCTTCCTATGGCGCCTACGTGCCACCAGAACAACACCATTATATATCGGATTCTCGAAGATCCTTCTGGCGTCTTTCCGATCTCGAGTTCGATACAGACTCTGATTCTGGTGGTGACGGGCCTGCTTTGGCTCGCATGGTTCGTCTGCATAACCCAGGTTATTCCTATCTAATGAGTTCTGGCTAGGAGATTGATAAGCAAGATGACCCCGCCTTGAAAGTAGGGTTTCTTGAAAATTTTGGGATCAACGCTAATATCCAGTAGAATTTTGTTCTTAATTTGAAGGCTCATTTGCGCTGTCGCCTACTCGACTTGGAAGAGAGCGATGACATGCCGTTTAGCCAAGACGATCTAATCAAGGTTGTCATCGAGAAGGAATTACTCTACACTCACGCGACAATGCGGGTGAATTATACGACATACGATGTTCGAAGGGATCAAGACATGTTGAACCCACGTACACGAAAGTTCTTCATGGTTCACGCGCAGGATTCCGTAGACCCCCACCGCTTTTGGTATGGGGAAATCCTGGGTATATTTCATGCATATGCGTCTCTTCTGGACCAGCCGGGCAAACCAAAGCGCCTTGAATTCCTTTGGGTGCGATGGTTCCAACGAGATATGACATATTTGTGTGGTTTCAAGGCGAAACGGCTACCTCGATTGTGTTACATGCCCCACCAAAGCGAAATTGCCTTTGGCTTCCTGGACCCGCAAGTTGTTGTTCGTGGGTGCCATTTGATTCCTGCCTTCAGCCATGGACGCACAACCGAATATCTACCGAAATCAATCGCTCGCCCTGAAGCAGCATCGGATCAAGACTGGCGGTTTTATTATGTGAACATGTGAGTTCAAGTATTCGCGTTCAGCATATGCTTACTAAAACAAGGTTGTCGATCGAGACATGCTTATGCGATACCACAGTAATGTGGTTGGCCATCGCAGTGCTGCACCGAATGTGGATCAAGATGTCCCCATGCTTGATGTACCCAACGAAGCTACTGCTGATCAGCAAGATGTCCTGCTCGGGGATCAACTGGTGAATGAGGAGGAAGAGGAAGACCCAGACTGGTGTGGCAATACGCGGTGGGAACCGCATAGTGATGGTGAAGAAGATGGAGAAGAAGATCAGGATCAGGATGAGATGCTGGTTGGAGACGAGGCAGTCCGAAATCGTCTGCATCTCGCAGACTGATTCTCTGCGGACAATGGAAGGGCAGAGTATTGCAAACACCATCTTAATGATCCAAGCAGACTTGTAATTTGAGTCGGCTCCTTCTTAGAAACGGCAACGGCAACGGCAACTTGCCGACCTTCGACACAATCTCTTTGGCCGGCATCCTGGCCGTCTTTTGTACTCTCGCTACCGCCCCGACCCAGCTCCGATTTGCAAACCGAACCGCCTCCCGCTCTTCCGCCCGTTAAACCGTGACATAAAGTCAGGTCGGCGCTCTATCCTTCGAGGCAAGTCTGACAATGTCAAGAACGGGTCCGCAAACGCTCAAGAACGCATCTCGGTCGCCTTCAACGACTGCTTCAGAACTCGCCGCCACTTTCTCAGCACTCGGGTTGACGATGGCCGTTGTCACCGTCACCGTCACCCATCACCCACATTCACCAGCGGCGAGCGATGAGGTCTCTTCGATGCCTTCGTCCTGTACACGCCCAAGAAGGCTTCGGGACGGTGTACGTCGTAGCATTGCCGCATCCGGCCACGGGCCGGCCCGTTCTCAAGATTGGACACTCCATTGACTGTTGGCGTCGTCTGCGCCAGCACCGATCGCATTGCAACGGCCAAACCTTCACTCTGCTACTGGCTTTTGCCGTCCCCAGTCGTATTCTGCTTGGTAAGCAACTTTTCCTCTCGTTCCTTTTCACTGACTCTTCTTAGAACGAATCATCCACGACTACTTCGATTTCATCTGCCACAGCTGGCTGGGCGCAGTCTACTGCCAATTTTGCGACCAACGACATTTTGAATACTTCGACGCTGAAAGCTGCGGGCCCTTAGAGCATGTAATTGCGACTTTTCATACTATCATTGTGTATCAGGGGTGGGCATTACACCGAATTGTCTAGCCTGTTGTTGATTACAATAAACATTTCTTCTAAACTACAATGTACTTGTGAGGTATGAAATTTTTTTTACCAGATTTACAACCTACTTGCACTGGATGAAAAGGATTTTGGACCCCTTGTAAGCATGTTACAAGGTATTGTGTGGATCAAAAGGAGTCACAACAAATCTGTAGCGCCGACCAGCGGCGGTCCCCGACTCTTTGATACGCATGTAGCTAGAGTATCTTGGATACATACGCAGTACATCTAGTGCTAAGTCGGGAACATAATATTCACCTACCTCCATGAAATAGCTCGAATCAAAAAGCAACAAAACTCAGGCATATCTCTCCCTTACGGGCGCAGAGTAATGGTTTTAAAGCAATGTCTCGATGTCTGTTGAGAGTGAGACTGTCGTCGCCGAGTACAACTACCTCGTGAAGATTGAACAAGAGCCAGACGATTGGCTACCATTGGACACTGCCAGTGATACATATAAGGAAAGTGGATGCTGTATATATGAGATAGCGGGTGCTATGTCAATGGGCAGCAAGTGCTGGTAGCAAGCTGGTAGAGAGAATGCAGGTTCAGAGGAACACGCAACCTGAAAGGCTGAAATTCACCTCAGGACGAGCCCCTACTTAAGAAACTGTGGTGCCAAGCCGATGATGACGCTGTCGTCATTAGGTCACTCTTAAATCGGGATCAAAATCTCTCATGGATTTGGCGGACACTTTCACAAGATCACTCGCTAAAACCCTCTCTGTTCCAGAGTCGGGGATGGTCGAATTTGGTGATGATCGATCTCCGTTTTCTTCCCAAGCCTCCACCACCGTTGGGCGCGCTCTGCGCCTTCGGTGGTAGGCCTTATTTCTGGTCACTGTTGGGCGCGCGCTCTGCGCCAACAAACCGCTGGCACACATCGTAATGGTGGCTTCTGGCTTCTGGTGAGTCGTTCTTAATATTTTGCCGTTCTGTTTTTCGTTGATGGTACTTTGCGGGCCCAGCTCGAGTCGCCTATTCAAAAAAACTTGTGTATATCCTCACCTGTACCGTGGTTAGTAGAGGGCTCCTAGAGGGTCAGGTCGCTACCATCGGGTCTTGTGAGTTGGCGTGCCCCGCACGGGACCTAGGCCAGAATTATTATTATTATTATTGCCGTCGATCGAGAAATTGCGTATCTCTCTCTCGCAAGATTCAACGCCCAGCTCCCTAATCTGACGGCTAAACGGCTCGCAATAAGGGGCGACGCAGCGGCCAGGAATTGGGAGTAAACTTTAACCTACGTCATTATACAACTTGGCTTTCCAAAGCGCACAATTCTCCTCCTGGACCGCTTCTTCCAACATCCACGAAATCTTGTTGACAAGCCTTCTTCGTGTCCTCCATTCTTGCGTCATTTAGGATGGCGTTTTTGCTTCTCAGCGCGGTTCGATCTGCTTAAAATCGTCCAATAAATCAGGTATGTGCTTCAGTTTGAGCATGTCAAGGTCTGATAATCGATACTAGCGGTCTCACTCAGTCCCATCGAACCCATTGGCGTCGTGTAGTCTTCATTGACGGTCATCGTCACTGGGTCAGCCAGACACCAGCAAACTGTACCCTACTGATTTTTAGACTTCTGGCAATGTATACGTCTGCAAGCTTGATGCTGTTCCCATAGCGTCGTTGGGAGGTAGAACGGCCGCCCAGCGGTCTTGTCGTCATTAATTGCAATGAAAGATAATAGTCTGTCTGGGATTGCTCATGTCATTCAGTACGATGCCCTAGAATCACGTAATCCACTGTTGATCCTGCGGGCAATCGCGATGCGATGGGCAAGATACCGATGATTTCATCAATGATTCGCGTGAAAGATGCTCCTGAGCGTTTACAACTCGCGTCTTCTACCAAAACTCCAGTCATAACACCCACACTCCATCTCTCTTCCGACGAACTTCTCCAAGAAGAAAGCCTTGGACTATTTCACTCCCAATTCCAAACTCAACCCTTTCAGCCTGTAACTTCTCGGAGCTGTGACGTATACTGGCGCGACCACCTCCTTCTATTTGGTTCTGGTTCTTCTCCCAGGGATCTTTTGGACTTGAAGGAGCTCTAAAAGTATTGCTCTCTGCGTGACCGTCGTCGACGCCGGGCTCAAGGTGACAGATACCTCCTCTGAACAAAACATTGTGCCTCGTATGGAAAGCGCCGAAGTGGTGGCAGAAGCCGCCTCTGATCAAGCACAAGGACAATGTGAATGGGTATGTCTCGATACACTGAAAAGAAAGAAAGAAAGAAAATATATTCCCCGCTGAAGGTACCTACAAGGAAACACGCGGTTTCTGTACCTACGCACAAGCTCCCAATCATGTACACTACAGATAAATGCAGACGGCAATCGTTGTGAACTGTCGTTGATACATTTCATAGAAATCTGACTGCTTGCTTTCCGCGTCCATCTGCGACCTTATGCCTTTAATAATAATAATAATAATCTGCATCCCTGTCTGCGTCTGAGTCGAGCCGACATATCGGTCTCTCCGCCTTCCCCCTCCTCCCTCCTTTCACAGGTTATGGGCCCCGCGTAACCCTTGCCTCATTCCCTTCACTTTCGGCGCATCACATTCGAAAATTTTCATTCACATTCACTGTCACCACACACCCTTTGCTCTTCGCCATCTTCACATTTCCGCTGCACACCTCTCTGGCCTCGCCAAGCTTGCAGACCTTGATGACATCAACTAGGGTGATCAATGGAGCAAGACAATGAATGGTCACGTTCTTTCGGGGTACCGGAGCAACGTGGATTGCAAACAATGCGGCGGCTGTGCCAGCTGAAGGAGCTGCTGCTGCGCTCGATGGAGAGATTGTCTGGACAATCTATGTTTTTTCACGCGTCGAGAAGTCCAGCATGGCGCGCCCGGCTCAAAAAGCTCGTACCGAGTTCTACCAGGCGGTTCATGACCCTTCCCAACCTATCGACATCTTCATTCGTAAAATCACGGACGCCCGCAAAGTGCTAAAGGGTCTGAACTGCCCATCCGGCGATCTCGAAACGACTGATGTAATGCTGCTCAACCTCCATCGCTCTTGGGGCACTGACCTTCGTGAGTGAATTGCTGGAGAAGAGATTTCGGCACTGGACGTACTCAAGGTCTTGCTCGCTGCTAATCGCGGCAAGAGTATGTATGGCTTTACACTGAACAGCAAGAGGCCCGGGCCCTTTCAGCCTGTGCTTCCTCGCCACTGGCAACGAGAATTCACATGTTGAAATGGGGTTTGTTTGAAGTCTTCGGTTGCGTTCTCATGCTCATGATCCTTGTAGCCCGTCCAAGTAACCCCTGAACCATACATTCTCTTCGATGCTGCGGCTGTCGGCGTCTCCGAGCTGTGCGACGCGTTCAAAGTCCGCTACGGCTTGATCAATGAGGATGATGCTATCTTATCTAAACATCTTCATGAATCGCAAAGCCAGCAGACCACAACAGGCAGCAAGACTCGGAGGACACCGACGTGGCATCGACCAGGGTCACGGTCCCCCTGCCTGGCCAACCGCCACTACCAGCGGAAATGAACCCTCGGCGGGCGGCGATGATTCAGCAAGGATGAGGGTTATAATTTGCTTACATTTGCATCATAGAAAAGGCATCGTTGATAATTATACGTATCTTACACTGCAGTACCACTAAATAACGAGTGCCAGTTGTGCTCAGCTGTCGACGGGACTCGCCAGGTTGTACCATGCGCGCAAAAGCCAAACAGCTAACCAGGGAAGCGGAAATGGCTGGCATGCTGGACCTGTGTTGAGAGGGATCCCAGCTATGTTTTCGCGATTGTCCTTTAACAGGCGTAGTTGTACCTACATATGCCATCTCCCCACTACGCAGTTTCTTCCTAAAATCTGTTCGCTTCTGCTCGGACTTCCTCCCACCTCCGCATCTAGGGCTGCTGAGGTTTCCGCTCTTGTGTCACCACCGATGGCTTGAGCATGGATATCACCTTCGTCGATAGGTACTGTGTCGACCGAGGTTTGGTGCGACGCTGTGAGCTCATTAGCATGCTGCTAAGATAATGCGAATGAGTACTTACCCAGGCCATGAGTTTGGCAGCGAGAGTAAAGGTAACAAATCGGAGAGCGGCGATATTGTTGATCTTGAGAGCTTTCTCCATTGCTGTCACCGAGGGCTAAATAGTTTGGAGTGTTGTTGTCCTCTGACGTTGGGACTGCATGATGAGAAAAGCACCATAAATGCGAACGGCAGTTTGGGAAGTCTGGGCAAGAGATGATCTGGAGGAAAATCAACAATAGCACAGACCATGTTGTTGTAAGGGCAACCCTGGAGACTCCGACGAAAGCCTAGCAGGGGAGGATCCAAAGCGTGAATAAGACTACAGGAAATACACGGAGGGACCGACCTAGCAGGGGAGGATCCAAAGAGAAGAAACTCTAAGGGTCCGCCTGCTAGGGCGCCAACTATATACTGGTCGTCCGTAACTGCTGACGTAGAGCGCAGAAGGCCTGAGCGGCGTCGCAGGCTCTGTCCCAAGGTGATCGTTGGGAGGGTCTTGACGGATCGGTGATTGTGCAGGCGAAGGAGGCCGTGGACGATGGTCGGGGTGGGTCGGAGCGTCCGAGGGGGCGCCGGTCGGATGCGCCTCGGATGCGTTCGGAGGGTCCGAAGGAGGCCGAAGCGGGGGTTCCCCTGACAGTTGTACGACACTTACAATCCGTTAGTTCGGCGTGAGAGTCTGAGCCAGAAAGAAAGACCGAGTTGGGGACTGAGCCACAAGGATTGCAGCGGTGGCAAACATGATATGCTAACAATCGGTTAGAACGGGTAGAGGAAAAGGTTCAGAAACTTACAAGAACCAGAAGCACGAATGCGCAAAGCATGGGGATTGGGAGTAGTCTGAGTGCGACTGTGGCTCATCGAAGGAAAGATGGGTGGAAGATTGAATCCTCGAGACAAAAAGAGTAACCGACGTTTTCAGGGTGATTCGCCCTTATGGGAGCGACGCGGTGCCATGAGCCTGTGGTTTGTTGGCGCAGAGCGCGCGCCCAACAATGGCCAGACGCGAGACCAAGCGGATGGCGCAGAGCGCGCCCAACGGTGTGGTGGACTTGGGAAGAAAATTGTTTGATGTACATGCGCCCGGGCCGCGGCTGATTGAGCGGATGGCGACCAACGGCACGTGACTGAGAACCGCGACTGCGATCATCGTGACTCACATGAGTCTACGACTCTGACTTGTTCCATCACCGCCCGTCGAACGATCCAAGAGCGCGCTCTGCGCTTCGGCTCATCGCTGGGGATTTGGGACAGAAGCAAACGTGTGCGCGCACTGCGCAGCGTCTTGAATCTTCCCCCGTGGTTGGTAAACAGCCATGTCTGCTATTCACTCATCGACCATCCCAACGTTCCCCAAGGTATGTTTCTTGACCAATTCTCTATTGAATTTACACTGACACCTCTCTAGCTGGACGAATTCGATGGCTTCTTCCGCAACGCCCAAGGTATCTTCGGCGTTCATTGCGGGGACCCATATTTTATGTTGGACATACCGTCAAAAGAACGTGCGCCACCACCGGATGCCTTGAGAATTCAAAGAGGCGACTTCGAACACCCAAGTTGGATCCATCCCAATTACCCATTCCTCCTCTTTTTGCCGCGCGTCGACAACCCTTTCAAAGGGCCTATTTTCGAATGTCTCAATATCACGGCTCGAACTGTAATCATCGAACGCGCGGAGGATGACCTCGAGATTCCTTCTTATAGAGGTGACCGTTCCCGGAGGATAGAGCGTTGGGGTCTGACGCAGAAGACGATCGACGAGTGGACACACCTCGAAGGCGCACTTCGAAAAATGTATCTGAAAATGTGGTACTTTATAGAGACCCACATTAAAGACTCTATGGTGTGGACATTCCCACTGCCCCTTCAATATGGCTACACTCTCCGAATGGCCCACACACGCGAGGATGCAATATGAATTGCTCTCCGTTCACGGGATGCATTTCGTCCTCTCATGGCAGCGATAACCATGGCAATCGTTATTCTCGACAAGATCGATACGGGTGACTGGAGAAGTGCCGTTCAGCGGGCAGCAAACGCGTCATTTCAATGGCTCGATGATTTACAAGATTCAGTCGTCGGCGACATGCGCATCAGACGTCTCGGCGGCATGATTGACCTTACCAAGAGCAAATCCCACCAAGAGCATCATCTTCCTCGTCATATTCATTGGCTTTTGCCATTCATTCTCGGCCGCTTGCCGGTGCCTCTGTATTTCTATTATGGATATCAATTTCCCGTCACAGAGCCTATCCCTCCAGCACTGATCGAGAAAGGGCTCGTGCCAGACTTGCTAGAGGTTGAGCACTTGCAAATGCAGTCTGAAGAAGTAGTCTTTAGTCTATGGGATATCAATACACCCGTCTGGGCTAGCTTGCGGAATGCCCCCGAAGGCTTCGAACCAACTCCCCCTCCCCGTCCGCCGCCAAAAGCTCCTCGCCCCAATCTTTTCCAGCGCCCTCCGAAGCCTTCTCGTGTTCGCTCAACTTCAGCGGAAAGACAAGCTCCGCCTGATCATCCATCGTCGTGGATGGACTGGGAAGATAGAGAAGCATATGGTTCACCCTTCCGTTGCGACGTCTGTTCACAAAATAAAGCGAGAGTGCTGGATATCGCTGCCTTCGAAGTTCTTGCTATGTAAGATCGAAGAAGTCAAGCACAAGAACAATGTTGTTGTTTATGCGGCTTTCCCTCTGTGGCTGCTAATTCTGAACCGATTTTGGGTGGGCATCAGTAGCACAAAGGTGCCCGTGGAGAGCGAAGAAACAACGTCGGCTCTGAGGCCGTATGTCTGGAAAACGCTCAGACGCTGAGTGATACAGAGACAGGAACCCCAGACTTTGATTGTGTCGTCGTCACCCCCGGTACTCGTAGCCAGCAGGGCGCGACGGGGATGGGAGTTTACACCTTGAACGGGCCCTACTTGAGAATGAGAAAGATGTTGGCGGGAGTGAGTATATAACAACACACCTTCGTACAAGCACGCCCATTTGGTAATTTCACAGCTGAATACTGTCATTATGAAGAGTAGCAATGAGCAAATGTTGCGTTGAGTGGGACGCGAGACCAGGAACAACTGAATTTGCCAGGCTTTGTTCTTCAAGTTCTCGTCCAGAACCACCATAGTTCCTGCTGTAGTTAGTCCCTGCACTCCTCTGCCGCCTGTTTCAAGTTGGCATCGAAGACTGTGCTTGCGGGGCGGCAGGCGTCGTTAGAGGCATGGCATCTCAGTCTCAATTCTTGCAAGGCCGTTTTGGACTCCAGGCCTACAGTTAAGGACTTTGACTCGTCCATCTTGCAGGACACTGGGAGAATGGCTGAGAGGTGGTTAACGGTCGCGGAGGGACTCACATCTTCGACCATAATGATGAAGGTTACAGCACCACTCTCACGATGGGATGATGGAGAAGTCGATTCAAGGGCGGGTGATTGCCAGTGGCTGGACTTGAACCTGTAATTTGAGATGACATTAGTATGAGCAAAAAAATATCCGCGGAGTGCAGAATACTTGTTCGGCCATGACAGTAAAGATTTATGCCTCTGGATTGCCGAAGGTTACTAGGATGTGGCGGTAATCCGAGGCAAGGTTTTCAACCAGTGGTGAGAAGCACGCGTTCAGTCGGAGTGAGACCGACGTGACGTGAACGATATGACGAGAAATATTTTCGTATATGGGCGACTGATCATGGGAAGGGACTGGGCGAGGTAGGATATGAGACGATTTAAATCCAAAAGAGTGGCTCAACCTGTGAAGCCGTTCAACCAAACACCGGTCAAGCTGGCTGAGTACAGAATACACTCACAAAAGAATCACGATGACCGGTGAAGGATATGACGAGAAAAAATCTCGCATATGGGCTACGATGTGGACAGTGCCAGCGGTTTCAGGATGCAACAATGGCAGCAGACGAAGTTGCTGCTGGACCAGAACTGAGTCAAGTTGATTGAGGCAAAGGAGAGAACACTCACATGTTAGCATACCGACCATCTTCGGTGGGCTACATAGCGAGAAAAAGTCTCGGAGATAGACCACCACAAAGACGGAAGGCAGAGATGTGACTAAGCGCCGTGTCACAGCATCGTGTCACAGCGATCAAGTGTGTCGGTCATCTCGACCTTGTGCTAGCATCGTCAACGATCCTCTGCCTATCGAACTGATACTTGAACCTCGCAAGAATCTTTCTTTGAATCTTTGTCATATTCTCCATCCGCGCCTTCCATGCAAACTATCTATCAAGGCAATCCAAAGAAAGTGGCAGAAGGGAAGCGAGCTATGGTGTCGGCAAGTTTAGTTTTCTGTATGTGACCATAGCCTCAGGTATGGCTAGCCATATTCATGGTATCTGCTAGCGATTCCGATGCAACGCCAAACAGGGATGTCGAAGACGGCACAGGAAAACGCAAGCCAGTCGCTGAACTTCTCGGGTTCAACGGTTGTGTTCCACCACGGACAATTGCATACATTGCGGTTCTTGTGCGCATTATGTTAACAAAGCTTTCAGGTCTACTTTTCTTTCTCGGAGATCAAAATCTGGCTACGCAAGTTCAAGGGTGTATACCATGGTCAACTACTTCGAAAATCTGGTGCTTGGAACAAGGGCAGCCAAACGTGTGGAGGAGGTCCAAACAGGTATGTGTTAGGCCTGGGGGCACTACTTTACCTACTAACATGGGAAGTTTTTTTGCTCCGATTGAACGTCGCTGGCCGCATATGCAACATACATCTTTTCATAGAACTCCCCTGTCAGAGAGAAAACCACTCCTTCAAGTCCGCAATTCACGGCTACCGTTCTGCCCCCCTTTCTTTCCCTTCAAGTCCAGCTTTATCTGTCCTTCAAACGTATTTGTGCTGATATCCGTGACAACGCAATTGACACTGAAATCCTTTGTTCCAGTTTCCCTTCCGCCCCGCTTGTCTACCTTTCCTGATACTTGCCCATTCCCTCTTGCTATGAATCTTTGAACAAACTTGTGAGTGTATTCCACCAATTTGATGTTTATGCTGCTCATGTCTCGAAATTAGTGTCTGTACTTCTTGCAATTCGACATCAATGGCTCTTCCATCAGCACCGAAACTAACACATAATCACCGCTGGTGGCCCGCAAATGTTCTAACTTTGAAGCTTGCCCTCAGTGCCGGTGATCGAGCCGTTAGTCGGTCAAATTCTCCAGAACATGATCGGAACTTTGCAGTAACGCTCAATTCGTCACAACCCAAGGATGGCCAGAACTTTGACCGAATTGAACGTGCATCCAATGGAAGCCTATGCCCCAACTGCAACGAGTGCACTTGCCGTGCCACTTGCCAGTGGTTTACTCGCCTCCAGCCATTTCGAAAGCCAAAGTAATGCTCAAAGTGTTTTGGAATGCACTGAGCTCGTCGCCCTCATCTTACAAGCTCATCTTCGATCTCAAACGACTACTGACTGGCGACTCGATGTTCGAAAAAGATTGACCCTCAAGCTGGTGTGCCGATTTTGGAGAGCGACACTGGTGTCGACACCAGAATTGTGGTCGAACATCGTCTTGGTCCCGGAGATGCCCCAATGGTATATCGATCAGGTTTTCCAATACGCCAAGGCCACTTCGAAGCAGTTGAAAATCCGGCTCGAGGCACACTCGAGGCACGCCGACGTTGACCACTTCTCGTCTTGCATCGTCCCCCCACTGATTGCGGTAGCCGACACGATCACGCATCTCTCTATGCAGTATGGCTCGCACAAAGATTGGAATGCTTTCGCTTCTCGGTTACATGCTTTGGACGCCCAGCCTGAGTTAAACCTGGCGTCCCTCCGACATCTTCACATCACGTATTTGGGAAACCAGTCAAGCGATATCCGAGTCCCACTCCCGTTTCCGAGACTTATTACAGACATACGGCACCTTCATCTCGACGGCTTACCGCTTACTTCCTCCGTCGTTGGCCCCAACCTCATTTCTCTGGCCCTCCTCAACTTGGACCTGATTTACGACGACGCAGAGTCATGTCACGATCTTACTATGAACTTGTTGGATTGCCTTCGTCAGACCCCAAGACTCGTAGTCCTTCTTATCGGAGACCTCTGCGAGCGTTTTATTGACGAATCCGCCCTCCACAACCGTACGGTAATTCTTCCGAGTCTGCGAAATCTATTATATCTTTGCAGTACCCTGCCGTCGCACCGCTGTGGTTTTCTGGTCTCCCTCATCACAGCTCCCAAACTCCAACTCCTTTCCATCTGTATGACCAACGTTCACAACACGCACCACTTCGTTTCGATGAATCGTTGCAAGCTTTCCCAAAGTACCGGACTCTGTTTACTGGGCGACATACATGATCATATTGAGCTCACTTGTGGTCGAGCAAGGCTTTTACCACTTCTGACAGGGAGCCGACAAAATCTGGATACCGACGGCCTAGTTTATTTTGTGCGCGGACCGTTCGTCATGACCCGTTTTGTCGATGTCATGAAACACGCGTTATCTCTTCCTACCGTGCACTTCTTGGTGCTACCCTCACTATACTTGCGCCACCACTCAGGCTATGTTTCAACTCGTGTGAGCTTCATGGCGTCCGTATTCCAGTCGGCTACAGCCGGCGAAACCAAATACATCTACGAGGAACATGCATTTTGTATGTCTGGCGGCGTCAATGAACTTGAAGACCATTCGGCCTGCACTCGTCTGTGGCAGTGGGATAGTTCTCTCAACTCTACTATCACTACCATAGTTAGAAACTGAAGGGGAGAGTAGTATAGGATCCAGTTTATAAATTTCAACCAGCTTCTTTTCAATTATGATTCATCCAGCACGCGACATGGTGTCTAGAGACATATTCATCAACTCACCCGCTTGCGACGCGTTGTAGCCCATGAAGTGACCGGGGCCATTATTGTTATTGTGCTAAGCCTCTACACCCTTGATCTTCACGGCCATCCCTGCACAACAACTCAAAGCCTCACGTGCAGGATCGGCGAAAACCGGAACGAGACTACGGATCGGCATATTCCACGAACATCCTTAGGACGACCAACTGTTTACTGCCTTTCCAGTTGGAATCCGCGCCGAGATATTCCGGCACTACATCGGAGAGTTCTTCCCTACGACCAATGCTGGACCGCTGCTTCTCCTCCGTGTTTCTCACGCGTGGCGACATTTGGTCCTGCACATGCCACAACTCTGGTCGTCGTTCTCGCTCGATGTCCAGCGGGCCACAGTCCTCCACACGGCCAGCGCCTTATTTCAGCTCTGAAGTACTGGTTGAAGCAGTCCAGGCACGTGTCCCTGACATTCAAGCTACACAGTCACCCGCCGAACAAGTCACATCCATCTCAGCTATGGGAGTAGTGTGAGGCTGAGGATGTGTTTAGCTCCGCAGAGCCTCTTGGCAAGATGCACTTCGAGGTTTTCTTTCAAGTTGTTGAGTAGAATGTAAGAAATAAGAATTGACCTTTCGATCAGGCTTGATTTTTTTTTTCTTTCAATATGTACAGGGTGAATATCCGCGTTCCCGAACACCAAGAGGAGTGGTTTGCTCGCTCGATAAGCAGCGAAGGGAGGTCGAAAGCAGCAAAATCAAGTCCACAAGTTGCTTCCGATAAAGATTACTCGTTTGAAATGTGGTTTAGATGAAATACTAAAACCCGGTCGCGCTGTTGCTAGTTGGTATCTATTTTTTAAAAAAATGGGGCCCTAGCCATGGCAACAAACTCGGTGACGCCGAGGGGCCAACTTGTTATGCCGGATCCGGGACAATTTGTCCAAGCTTAATGCGCGAGTCTTGAAAGTCATGTCATTACGAGCTCAAAGCGTTGGGATTACCTGAGACGCTTTCTTTCACCGGCAGTTTCCGACTCAGCCACGAAGGGTTTTCAGATTCGGATCCTGCACTTGCAATTCGGTCGTGGTTGAAGCGCTCTTCCAGTTGTTGCTACATCTGCTGTAAAGTGAGGTTCAGCAAACAGCTAATAGCCGAACAATGTACCAATATTCCCCGATAGCGCCGCCAACTAGCACGCAGAATTGTGTCGTTCTCAGCCTCTATGCTGATAGCCTTTTGGTTGCTTGAGTTGTGGCTCAAGGCATTCCGATTTCTTCGTGCTCTGCGGACTGTGATGAGTCGGAATATCTAAAGCTCTTGTTAATGATATGATGATCGAGTCGCGACATATGACCGTTCGAAATGAGCTGCATGAGCGCGGCGGAGGAAGTGACAGGATAATCACGGACTCGGACTGGAGGGCGTAGTCCGTACTACTCCGTACTACTCCGTACTGTGTATTGGCTCCAAGTGTTTTCGGGAGAGCGGATGCAGGATTTCTGGCGGTCTGAGTGAAATACAAAGGTGAGAAGCGACGACACAGAGTGCTTGATAGGACCTTGGTAGATGTGCTCTTCATGCGGGACACGCCTGCAGGATCAATGGTCTGAGAATTTCAGGAGAAGAGTGAGTAGCGTTGGTCTCAATTGTGAGCGAAAAGTTTGGATAGGTACGTACACACTGAACAGAGCTGCTCATTATGTGGTGCAGTTCCTCATAATGCTGGTCCATGGTACAATTGCTCTGTCGTTTGACTGAACAGATGAGAGTTTATCGATATCCATGACAGTCCATGACGCCATAACAGTGAGTCAAACACCGTTACACTGTGACTGACTGTTGTGTCTCACTCAAATCTTTCGCTTGATTAGTCCCTAAATCGAACAACTACTTTCGTTCGGCAACGAGAAACCAGCCCGGTTTCTCGTCAAAAACCAGTTTCTCGACACAAAACTGGTTTCTCAACGGGATCAGTCACCTCAAGTAGTAACGCTGTCTCGGCAGTGTCCGGTTAGTCGGCCAACAGGATCGCCTCCAGTATCGACACTGACAACGGAAACTGCCTTCCATTGCTCGTTAACCGCATGAGAAACACACATGCATTAATATGCCGGAAATGCGAGGTTCATGGTGTGAAGCTCTATTATTCTGAGTCGCAACATCACCATCCGTGCAGGAAAATGCTCAGCGACCAAGAAGGCAACAATCACTCGCATTTCGCACGACAACCACAACGCCTCGCTGAAAGAGTACTCCATGTCTGGCATTATGAAGGAGTCAGGTTACGACCTCATCAACATTCCAAGTGTTGGATCTTTCGAAGGCGTAAATGTGGGAAGGATAAACGAATGCCATTGGACCTAATCGAAGCGTGTGTGGGCTCATCTCTGCCTCTATCTGGGCTTGATTCCCTCCAGTCATGCTTGTTCTCTTGTGGACTTTCACGCAGTTGGTACAAAAAATCCCACTCCACCGTCATCTCACTATGCAGCGACTGTGAGGTGACATTGAGATTGTCAGATGGTTAATGGTCGAATAGTCGGCTCCCTGGTCCGTCAATAGCCTTGCTTGAAACGACTTGTGAGCATCCTAGCCTCGGACCCAACGGACTTGAATTCTGATTTTGGTTCAACGGCTTGTTATGTCTGGAATGTCATTAGATTCAACCTCCCCGTGGCCCGACAAGTTTCTCCCTGCAGCACTATCATGATGATGTAGGCTTTGTTTGCCGGAATCGCGGTGTCAGTGCTCCACTAATCTTACACACTGGCAGCATTTTCCTCACCCTCGATATACAGTACCAAAACCAACACAGGAGCATCCTCTAGATGACGATTCCGGTGTACGTAAGGGTCCAAGAACCCTCATCGGAACTTTGCAGTAACGCTCAACCCGTCACAGCGCACATATAACTAGAAGGTCGACACAACCGCCATTCGCTCAATGGAGGACAACGCCCCGGCTTCAGCAAGCACACTGGCACTTCCTGTGTCACGCGCTTCGTCCACCTCCAGTCCTTCGGATAGCAACGTTCGAAGTGTTGTACGAAGTCCTGAGCTCCTTGCCCTCGTCTTCAAAGCCTACCTTGCTTTGCACTCATTTATCAACTGGAGAACCGATGTTCAAAAAAGGTTGACTCTCAAGCTGGTGTGCCGACTTTGGAGAGCGACACTGGTGTCGACACCAGAATTGTGGTCGAACATCGTCTTGGTCCCGGAGATGCCCCAACGGCATATCGATCAGGTTTTCCGATATGCTAAGGCGACTTCGAAGCAGTTAAAAATCCGGCTTGATGCACACTCAAGGCATGACGTTGAAATCTTCTCGTCTCTTATTGCCCCTTTGTTGGTCGTGGTAGCCGACACAATTACGCACCTCTCTGTGCAGTATGGCTCTCACACAGATTGGAATTCTTTCACTCGCGAACTATCTAATACACACACTGAACTCAACTTTTCATCGCTTCAAAGGTTCCGTGTAACATCTCTGAGCCCTTTCGAAATTCCCTTTCCTGACGATAACCCCCATTCGTTTCCGGGGCTTACCGCAAACATACAACACCTTCATCTCGACGGCTTGCCAATCACCTCATCCATTGTTGGCTCAAACCTAATTTCTCTGACACTCCTCAATTTAGACTTGGTTCACGATATCGATGACGCGGAATCACACCATAGTTTTGTTGAGAACCTGTTGGATTGTCTGCGCTGGACCCCAAGGCTCAACACCCTCATCCTCGGAGACCTCAACGAGTCTTCTATCCAGGAGTGTGCTCTCCACAACCATACAGTGGTCCTCCCGAACTTACAAAAATTATCCTATGTTTGCGACCTCCCGCTGCCGCATCATTGTGGCTTCCTCGTATCCCTCATCGCAACTCCACAGCTCCACTTCCTTTCCATCCGCTTGGCCAACTCTCAGAACACGTACAACTTTGTTTCGATGAATCAATCCAAGCTCTCCATCATCACCGAGCTACGTCTGACCGGGGACATGGATAATTATGTCGAATCTGTTGACCATCGAACTCAACTCTTGCCATTGCTAATGGGGAGCAGACTGCGATATCTAAACGTCCTTGAGATGGGTGGCCTCTTCGATTTCAATGCTGAGCAAAGAGCCTTGGACCAAACCCGTTTTCTCGAATTTCTTATTCAGGCGCTATCGCTTCCGACGATCTGCTACCTCGCCATACCGTCATTATTCTCGCCCCCGCCCCCGTCTTCTCCGGAAAGTTTGATGGAGTCTGTATTCCAGCAAGTTTTTACCCGAGGCCAAGCCAAATATGTATACGAAGAACATACTCTCTGTGTTCCTTTCGATGTCGATGAAAAACATCTTGCCTGCGCTCGTCTCTGGTCCTGGAATGGTCAACTTAGTTGTAAGACGAGGTCAAGTTTAAATTATACCAAGAGCAGAGCCCATGCCCACTTGGCAATGGGCATCTGTCAAAGTCTTCTAGAGCGAGGGCCGGATAGCATCATGTAACGTCTGCATACCTGTTCCACTTTCCCTACCGTTGACGAACAAAAAAGTGTGTCTCAAAACTACAAAAACACTGATTGCGCCTTGTAAGATAAAGTCTCCTCTCGTCCACGAATAGAACATAGTTCATCGTTTGCGCGACCGCTCATGGGGGAGACTGACTACTTATCTCAAACCACAGCTCTGGACCGGTCTTTGATCATCACCGTTGATCCTTACTTAAAAATGCTTGTGTTTGACACTGTTTTGCAACATCATTGCGTTCGGATTTAGACTCTTGCTTTTAACTTCTATCCTCAGTCCATGAAATAAGGCCCACGCGCGGCGGAGTACTAGCAGAAGTTGTGGAATAAAAGTACACTACCTTTGACTGCTCGTGCTTTCTTGTTCTCCATGACACAGGTGGATACCGGTACGGGCCCCATGTAACTGCCGGGTCCAATGCCGCAGCATGCCGGATTCAGAAGTAAGTGATAGCTGTGATCGATTATCAAAGCCCGGTCCAGAGCTGTGGTTTATAATCTCATTTGGTCACCAGGTCAGTGTCACCACAAGCATGAAACAATCTCTAAGCTCCTCCTTGGCTCCTCCACTCTTGGTTGTTACGCCTTCGAATCCTTCGAATACAGTAACCACAGTCTGGTGCTCAACAATGTCGCCGAAAAAGACGATTCGAAACAACTTGGTCACGGTCCGGAGAGCCACAGGGCACTCTACTCGACCTTCGTCAGGCATTATATGTTACACTTGCATTCGCTTACCAACCCCTTTACAGTAAGAGACTTAAACAGACCCCACCACGACTACGAGTTAGCTCGTCTCAATCGAAAAGTTAAAACAACGAGCTATTGGCCGTTTCCTTCAAGATAACGACCGTAATACCTCGGCTTTGGCTCAGGTAAAACTGCGACCATATTCCGATGTCGCGAGAACTTCATCCAGCTATTAACACCATCGACAACAATATTCGTCCGGCTTTCGTCAAAATACAACCAGATCTTTCTTCCTATCTCGACCTTCTCAACAGCTCTGAAATTCATTGAGTGGTCGATCTTGCGTTCCTGGTCGGTCGTGATTTGACGCAGACCCGAATTCTCGTGGTGCGTTTATTACACCTCCATTCAAAGAACTATGGGGAGTGTTCGTCAGCCCAGTTATGACGAGCGTAGTCTTGCACTCGCCCAGGCAACTCTTGCCTCGCCTTCCATCACAACTACGCGAGAAGTACAACCGCCAGCAGAAAAGACTGCTCTTGCCAATGTTTTGTACCACAACCATCCGAAACTAGCGCGTCATGTTCCTCTCCTCCATCACTGCGGCATCAAACAACCATTGGACATGTACTTGTTGGTTGCAGGGGATTTCTTCGGCACATACACTCGCTTCGAAGGTGTCTTCTATCTACTCAGGAAGAACTCCGTAGAAGAACTTGTTGCCGAATACGATGGGCCTTCGATGTCCAGAGTTGAATGTCTTGTACTCACCAACCACGTTCTGAAGCTCGTCCGACAACATTCTACTAGAGAGGCATGGCGGCAATACTTTGGGGCTTCAGAACTGCAACTACCTAGCTATCTTGTTGAATTCCCATTGCAATCAAACACATCCAGTTGGCATTTCAAGACATAGTTGTAAATTTCAGTGAGTAATATGGTCGTAAGGGAGTCGCAAACCAATAAGACTGATTGTTTTGAGAAATTTCATGACAAGCGAATGATAAGCTCACAGGCTGCTTATGATCACTATACACCCCAAGGGTTTCAGTATGCTTAGAAGACACTTGCAAGGGTTTGTGCGCATCAAAATTTGTTACAATAAACCTTCTGTGATGGCAAGTCAGGTGTGTGACATCTCGCGTTTATCGCGTCTTTCGCTTCTTTACCACGAATCTTAACCTTGTCTTCTTTGACTGCCTTGCCTTCTTTTCCTAGCGCTTTGAGGCTCTTCAGCTTCGAGTGGGTGTGCTAATTGCGTTAATTGTACTTTAAATTCATCATCGGAACTTTTCAGTAACGCTGACTCGGATTGGATTGGATTGATACGCGGCACGGTCCGACTGACGAACGCCGGTTTCCAGGAGTTATCGCGGTGTACATACTAAGTACCTACACCTTCGCCCCTGGCCCTCCCTGTTACCGAATAGCCGAGCTCACGAAGCAACTATACTGTGTCCCCCGCGGTAGAGCTACCACAATAACTGAAGGGTTACTGTGTCAGACAAGTCAATAAGATCTCCAAATTGGCACTGCATAAAACACCTCGAGAACATCGTACATATACTTTGCGACCAGTGCAATTGAGACTCGCTCGAAAACCATCGCTTGCAAGGCTATAGTCGTTGACAAGCCTTGCAGATCCCGCCGAAACCTTGGCACTTTCTCGAACAGCAAACCCAGGAATACCACTCTTAACTCGACGACCCTTTCGGACCCCTTGCATGCGAGTAAAGCGTGTTCTGGTGTTTCGACGTTCATCTTGCACATGCGGCATAATCGGCGATCGCGTGGGACGGCGGCGTGGGCATGGTCCGGGTATCTCAGTGCTTCGAGCGCCAAGCGATGGGTTGACAGCAGCACAGAAGTTATGGCCTCCCTGTGCTCCTGGGTCTGAACCATCGACAAGTAGTGGCGCATGCACGATACCACCTGTACTGCGGCATTGTTCTTTTGCGGCTCCCGGCGTCCATGGAGGAGGTATAGTTTGGGGGAACTGTCAATCTCGCTTTGCAGCCAGCGAGTCATACCTTCCGTAATCTCCTTTGTGTATGCTCTAATGTAATCTGCAGTTGTTTGACTCTCGAGCACCAGGTTGGCGCCGCGGCACTGGAACGGCAACTTCCTCGCGGCGGTTACGAGATCGCTCGCCCATGATCGGTGGCCACGGCTGTGTAGTTGAATTGAGGTAGCGCAGCGCGTGCATAAGCGTCTTTCGGCAGATCCAGCAAGTACACCAGATAGCGGAGTGTCAGGAGGAATCGGCGAACTCGCAGCGGCATCACTCCAGTTTCCGTGAACAGTGGTGCGATAGCGGAGTGGGAGTGCAGATTGAGAATTTGACGTAGGAAACTCACTTGAATCCTTAAGAGCTCTTTCACATGCACATCTTCACTGTCTGGCGAGATTTCGCACCCGTGGATTAGGTGACAGTCGACTCTGGCCATGTACAGCGTCTTGAGCTCCCGCGGGGTCAGCCTGCCCGTCATATCCTCCAGTCCCAGCACCCCATGGCCACAGTACCAGGCTGCACGCGCTTTTTCGCGGTAATGATGAGCGAGGAAGTTACGGGTCGACGATGACATGTGGATTCCCACATATTTTTCGTCTTCTGTTATGCGGACTTGGGTATTGCCGATTCGAAAACTAGGAATCTGAGCTGGTCGGGGTCCAAAGATCAGAACAACCGTTTTAATCAGGTTAACCAGGACAAAATTTTTTTGCGCACCACCTCTCTAGTGCCGCTAGCTTTTGCTGCAGGCCACGAGCTGAGTAGGAGACGATTACCAAGTCATCCGCTTGCGCCAACAAGGTGATACGGACCTGGGCAAGGAGCGGGTCATCATCATCTGCGCTCATTTCCAGATCTGCAAGAAACAGGTTCCACAGTATTGGTGATGCGGGGTCCCCTGTCAGCACGCCCATGCCCGCCTGGAATTCTTTGGACTGCATGTCCCCGTGGCGAACGTAGTAGGTCATTTTGCTATACACATTGCGCAGCCAATCAAAGATAGGTCCTCCCATGCCCTTTCGATAGAGCTTAAGCCAGAGCGTAGGTTGATCGGTCGACGGGAATGCGTTTGAGAAGTCGACAAATGCAGTGTACAGTGTTCACCCATTTGCCTTGCCCCACTCCTTCACACACCGTAGGATGAACGGATTGTTGTTCGTTCGGAAACCGGGTCTGAACCCGTTCTGCCACGGAGGAATCAGTGATTGTGCTGCTGCCCAGTCCGCGAGCCTCCAATGGATCAATATGGTCAGTCCTTTCAGGAAGCAGCTCTCCAGTACGACCAGACGGTAGCTCTCGGGGTCCACATCAGGTTTATTCTTCTTTAGAATTCCAGCCATGACCGATCTGAACCAGATTGTAGGCGCGTCGCGTTGTGCTACGCACACGTTGTAGAGCTCGGCTAGCGTATCCTCAGGTATCTCAAGCAGTTCGCCATATGATGTCGCATCCTCGCCCGATGCGCTCTTCAGCAGCTCTCCCTGAAGGTGTGCTTTGAGCCGATACATATCCTCTTCCACCCACGGTGCTGAGAAGAAACGGCCTGTCGTGTTATCTGACGTGACCCTTGGGATGTGGGCTGCGAGGAAGGAGTTGATTTTGTGCTGTGATTCATCGAATTGCGCTGGCAGCACGTCAGGCGGGTTGGACCTTTTTTCGAAAACATCTCGCAGACTTTCTGCTGAGACGGAGATGGGAGCCGAACGGGCATCAGTCATAGACCGGACCGCCCGCCAGAAGACACCTGCATTCTGTGCGCCGAGGATTTTATCGCGGTTTCGCTGTTTCAAAGCAGCTAGCCGTGCCCTTCCACGGTGTGGGAATGGGTAGTCCTCGCGTTGCGGTATTTCTGTCTGGGTATCCGCCCCGCGATCATCCGGAATGTCCGCCGACACTTTTGGTACATTTAGCACTGCCGTTCCCTGTGTGCAGCCTGTCGTCAAACTCCGCCGCGAGTCATTGGCCAGCAAAGCATCACATAACTCCTGAGGTCTTCCCATTTTGCATGCCTCTGCAGCCAGATCTATTGCCCGTCTGAGATGTCCATTGTCACCCGATCCTGACCTTGGAATATGCCGGAAGCGCACCGGAGCATCTCTACATTTGATAATTGGTCACAGCCTGAGCTATACTGAACGTCGACACAATCGACATTCACCGAATGGAAAACAACGCCACAACTGCAATAAGCGCATTATCCATGTCCCACCTCCATTCCTCCAGTCCTTGGGAAAGCAAGGTCGAAAGTGTTTTTGGATGCACTGAGCTCGTCGCCGTCATCTTCGAAGCCTATCTCGAATCTCAATCCCCTGGAGACTGGCAAATCGATGCTCGGAAGAGGTCAACTCTCAAGGTGGTATGCAAGTTTTGGAGAGCGGTATTAGAGTCGACACCAGATCTGTGGTCGAATATTGTTTTAATCCCGGAGATGCCCCCGAGTTATATGGACCAGTTTTTTCGATTTTCCAAGGCCGCTCCGAAGCGTCTGGAAATTCGAATCTATGCCTCGAGGCCTGGCATTGTAAACTTCTCGTCTCACGTCGGGCCTCTGCTAGTTTCGGCAGCTGAAACAATTACCCACCTCTCCATGCGCTACAGTTCCCCCACTGACTGGAATGTTTTCGCAAGCCAACTATCTATCTTGAACGTCCAGTCTACTTTTTCATCGCTTCGGCAACTTCATGCAACCGTGACGTCCCTTCATAACTCAGGAAACTCGATCGATATCCCACATCCATTTCCAGGGTTGGCCACTGAGATACAGTACCTTCATCTCGAGGGCCTGCCACTCACTCCCTCCATCGCCGGCTCGAATCTCATTTCTTTAACCCTCCTCAACTTAAACTTGGTCCATAGCAACGCAGCCTCATCTCGGACCTTGGTTGTGAACCTGTTGGATTGTCTCCGTTCAACTCCAAAACTCAACACCCTGATGATCGGGGAGCTGGATGAATGCTGCGTTCATGAGTCTGTTCAGGTTGTTGTGCTTCCGAATCTGCACCGCTTAACCTATCTTTGCAAGCAACCGCTGCCCCACTGCGGATTCTTGATCTCGCTCATGACAGTGCCCCAACTTCAAATCCTTTCCGTCCGTTTGCCCGATGTTCACGGCACACGCAGCTTCATTTCGGGAAACCAATCCAAGATTTCCATCATCACTGAACTCAACCTGTTGGGTGATGTCAATAATTATGTCGAGTTTAGCTCTGGTCAAGCAAGGCTTTCGCTACTGATGACCCCAAACAAACTGGAACGGCTGTATATTCTTGATACAGTGGCACGCTTTCACATCAATATTGAGCGGAGAGCGTTCTACCAACCGTTCATTGTGGAAATATTGGTGCACGCGTTAACTCTTCCTACGATTCAGCTCTTGGTCATCCCTACATCATTTTTCCCCCCGCATCCAGTTTCGCGCATGAGTTTGCTGGTGTCTGTATTCGGGCAGGTTTTGATGCGCGCTAGAACCAAGCGTATCTAGGAGGAACATGCGTTGTGCAATCCTTCAGATGTCGAAGAAGACCACTCAATCTGTACTCGTCTCTGGTTTTGGGAAGATCGCCTCCGCTATCGGGATACATCAAGTCACCCAACAACTCCCTTCTACTCCCGCTTCCTTCGTTGGACGATCCCCCATGACGTTGAAATGTCTTGATCGTTCCTTTGAATCGCACCCGTTGGCAGATTCAGAATAGTTGGCCAGAGCTTGTGACGGTCAACCAATTTTGGTCGTGGACTCCCAGCGGTCATTTCTCACCCGATGCTTCATGTTTTCGCATAGACTTTGGTATATTTCGAATGTAATCGGCTACAATGGTATTCTTTATTAAAGAACAAAATGAAGAAAATTGAGCATGCCTCCGGTTTTCTCTAAAACAGCATGCTTCTCCCGTATCAGCAACGAC